ATCATACTGGGATTGTATCAATAAAATAGGGAAAAAATAACATTTACATATTTCTTCTTGATGAAATATAAATAGAACTACACGTAAAACATGTCAGTTCACTGCTGGTGTTTAATAATAAAAAATAACGGAGAGAGAGAATAAAAAGGCAAAATAAACAATAATAGGCAAAACCAATTAATTTGTTTAGTTACTTAATTAGAATGTGTTTTATGTCATTGATAAGGATACGATCGAAACAACTAATGATAACAACGGTCTAATTTGTGATTGTGTTGCGTATTCTTATCAGATCATATTACTGTTGCTATCAGCTACCTTTGTCTTCACAATTATTCCTAAAATGACGTCTTGTAACCATATTTTTGTGATATGAGGCTACATGACGAAACTCCCTCTTTCTCTTACTAAGATCGTCAGTATAAGCAATAAATATCCGCGTTGTCAACCGATTTTGGGTTACATTTTTTCGCCTCCATCATACTTTTCTTATCTTTTTCATTTTGAATACGTTATTTTAGCCGTTGGGAAACATTTGTAATTTCATTTTTTGAGATATATCTATAAACTAATAATAACTGCGTCGCTACTATATGATTAATTTTTTTATTTTATTTTACTATAAGTCGTCGTACCCTCTCGTACATAAAAAGACATTTTTACAGACGTTCGAATGTGATTCGTTCATTCGCTGAAAAATACAATCAAAAAACTTTTTATTGTGTTCTTCTTCTAGATGTAACGATTTTTTTAATCCTTCGTGATGTTTATTCCACATCGTTGAAGACATTCAAAAGTTTCATTCAATTGTAATGAAATCAGTAGAAAAAAAAGAAAGAGAGAAAAATGTCATCTATATTAAGACTGGAATGAAATGAATAAAAAAAAAAAAAGATGCTGTTGGCAAAAAAAAAAGAATACGTGGTGACACTGATTTCAGGTAATATCTTCCTGAAACGGATGTAAGAGAGACAAAATGAGTAGAGCAATGAGTTAAACTATTGGACGGAAGAAAAATACATATGTTGGAAAAGAAATAATGTGTCACATTCTTTTGCTACTAATAAATGTAATCTCTCATTGATTAGTCACCTTTTTTAAGACACATGTATCAACAAGAAATAAATATAAAATAGTTTGAACGACTGTTCTTGTAAATATTATTTTTCAGCAAGAAAAAACAACTGTCAATAAATGTTTAAAAATTTATAAATCATTACTAAAGGAATGAAAATCCAAAATGTTGTTTATAAGATTAGAGAAAAAACTAATTACGCATTTTTCAAGAAAAGTTCTACGTTATTCATCTGAAAAAAAAAGAATTTTTTCTATTATCTAGCAGTAATACTACGAGAGTGAATATAGTAGTTATTATCAAGAACGTCATTTGTCTTCTTCATTTTTCATATTTGAATAGACACTAAGGTCAATATGTAAAGTCACTGTATTTTGTGTACAACTATGATGTTTGAAGCATTATTCAAAATTAATGCACCATAAACTCTATTTTATTTATATTGTATAGAATATTTTCATAAAATTTCAAATATATAAGAATATAAAACACAAATAAAATAGAATTAAAATTAGAATTACATTACAGAAAAACTAAATGTGTTATTTCGAATTATTCAGACTGATGAGTGCTGACTGTACTAGTGACAAAATGAACTTTGTTTATCATCATCATCAATGAAACAAGAAGATATGAAAAGATTTGTTAAAAATAGATAATTTCACTTTGCCAATAGCAATATTTATCACCGACATACTATATTCAATGTTATCATCTTCCATTTTTAGATAATACTAGTACGAAAAAGTTGTTTGATTATACACTGATTGAAAAGATGAAACTACCGCATGTTACATCAAATAAAGTAATTTCTAGACCATTGGTTCAAATAGTAGTCATACAACTACAAATATTCTGTTTTTATAGTTATCAAACATGTTAGACAGATTATGTTTGACAATACGAGTATGGTACTATTAACAAAGATCTAATTCACAAGAAAATTTTCTTGTTTGATCTTCTATAGAGATGATCCTTGATGTTGATTGCTACACAATGCGTTAAAATAACACTAAGTAAATGTATACATATTTTACTTGGCTTTAGCAAGATTTTGGATGTTTAACCAGTAGAAAAAAATCATGTTAATCAAAAAGAAAGTATTTGATGATTTACATATATATATATATATAAAGAGAGAGAGATTTGTATGTAAATATCTGCAAACATCGGTTGACCAGAAAGAATGAGTACGTTCTAAATAAAAAATAAGGAAACAGCTTTGACATAAATAACAGAACAAAACTAGCCCTTAGTTCTATAATAGTCAACAGTGGAAGAAACTCTATTCTTTGGATTAGGAGTTGCTAGAAATTTGAAACATACAACTTTTCTATAAATTTCTAATATTGTTGTTAATTTGAGAAGGTAGTATGAATTTAGATTTAGGTTATAACATATGTTTGACAGTGAAACTAGAATAGCTAAATCTAAGAGTTCGCATGAGATATGATCTTGTTATTATCATGAAGAACAGAATATTCCGACTTTCTATTAAGTAGTAAATATTTTTTGGTTAGTACGGAAACGCCTTGAGGCAATATAATACAATTATATTTCTAATCAGTCGGAACTCAGCACGTATAAAGATGACGGAGTTAATCATTTGGAAATACAGAAATATTGCTGCTATTCTACTTTATTACTCTATTTAGAAAAAGGGAACAATGAAAATAACTGATTTGTCGAATTCATTTCTTTTTTTATCCGTACATGCGAAATAATGAAAAAAGATCAGACATCATCTCGATTATTTTATCTTTCTTGCATATTATTTTCATTGGTTAGTGTACATAGTCTAGATAATAACGATGCATTCTACGCATTGATTTAGTAATGACTAAAGTCTGGCAAAATTTTGAAACAATAAACCCGGATAATTCAAACAGAATGGAGACAAAATAAAAACATTCTCGAAAAAATAAACAAAGATGAACTCACTTCACTTAGTCTAAATAATCGTATGAAGAATATAATGTCTTTTATTGGTTGTAACTAATCGCTTGTCCTAACTGCTAAGATGTTCGAACCCCAATAAGTTCCGTTAGCCTATGAACGTGCTAAGTCTAAAAACAAAACTAAAATATTAGCTATTTGATGAAACTTTCTAGACTACACCAGTGTACTATGCTGATGCGTTCTTGAGTTTACATTTTTCGACTTATACTGTACTAATACACTGAAAATTTATTAGTTTCATTACTTTTTATTCTAGATATTACAGATGGCAGTAATGAGAGTAAAATTAAAGAGATCGATGATGAAGCCGTTCAAGAACGTTTAAAATTGAAACGAAAATTACAAAGAAATCGTACATCATTTACTCAGGAGCAAATTGATGCTTTGGAAAAAGGTTAGCATTCATTATATTAATCGAATGTATAAATTGTAACATATGTAATGTAAATATAATATATAAATTTAATTCATCTTTTTTATAGAATTTGAACGAACCCATTATCCAGACGTGTATGCTCGAGAGAAACTTGCACAAAAAATTAATTTACCCGAGGCAAGAATACAAGTAAGCTTATATATCTTTTTTCAACTAATTAATGGGGTGTTTTCTACTAGTTTTCAACCTTTATTATTTACAAATTATAAACTTATTACATGTATTTATTATTGTAGGTTTGGTTTTCGAATCGTCGTGCAAAATGGCGAAGAGAAGATAAAGTACGTGGACAACGACGTCAAATGAATGAAGTTGGAAATTTACGTCCATCTGGCAGTACACCACCACCATCTCTTTATCCATCTGCCTTTCCTCAACCAAATCTATCCGATCCATACAGTAGCACATTCGGAACAAGTTTTACAACACCAATGGCTGCTGCTGTTTGTAATTCAACGGGATATCCATTTTTTCAAGGTATGTGTCATGAATGTTTGAGACTCACTGACAAGTTTTAACATCAACAATTAGAAACACAGTCTATCCTAGAAAGAACTGTGGTGTCATCTGGTTGAAAACTAGATATCCGTTCTTTTTCACGACTGGATATACTGTGTAGAGATTAGTGCATTACAATGTTTTTTTCTCTCTTCGATTTAGGCTCAGCACGAGGTTATGATGCCTTAAGTTCATTCAGTTCGCCTTATAATCGATCATCATGTTATGGTCCCGGTCATTCAAACAACTCAGGTTAGTAATCCTTCTTTCGATATTTTGAGAGCGCAGCTCGAGAATAAAAAGTCAGCGATTTTATTTAGCTGCTTGAAATAGTTTTTCTTCGAAAAGAGAATTGTAGAGATTAAGGGACAGATGAAACGATAATTACTTGCATAATACTTTTAGACTTTTCCAAAACCGTTTCGATGCTTAGCAACCCAGCGTACATGAACAGTAGCAACCATAATCCACATATGCCATGGTATCCATCTATCTTGGCTTAGAAAGGTACGCTAAAAAGGTCACGTATGTGTAAATTGGATACCATAATCATGTTAGTGTTCAACATAGATAGTAAAAGACACAAATCGTTGAAGACGAACTCGTTGACACACTCAAGATGTGCTGCATAATGTCTTTATAATTACCCATATCTCTCTCTGATTATTAGAATTTTTATGTGTGTCTGATTATTAGAATAATGGTTAAATAGAACGCTCTATCCGTCAGTATGTATGTGTGAGAAAATAAGAACGGATTACAGTATTGTTAGAGAGAACTTTGACAGATATAGTTTGTGACTACAAACCACTAATGTACACAATTGTCAACATTTTTTGAGAATAGGGAGGTATTTCTGATTTAAAATATGGTCGCAAATATATCCTTTTACAATAAATTAGAAACCATTAGATTGGGCTGGTAAAAAATGTATAGTGTTAATGTTCGTTAACTATAGAGGATAAGTCTTTGCATATTGTCACTACAAATCACCTTTGAAGATGGTTCAAAAACCTATTTACTTTTCTTTTTAGGTTATTGGTATTCCTAATTAATTCATATTATGACATTATACTTTGGCATTTGTTATTCAAAGATTTAACTGCATTAAATAAATTCTTTTATCGTCGCTGTTTTTATGTTGTGAAGCATTCCATAATAATATGAGCTTGCCTAATGGATTATAAATAATTGTTTAGCGTTATACAATTAATTAGAGTATATTTTTATTATATTGCATTTTGCTATCTTTCACTTTTTTTTTTCTGGTATTTATTTTTGTTGTTAGAGTTTCATGATGAAAATGTACTATCATAAGCGCTCATGTGCTTTTTCTCTCACCTGACTATATTTCTGTTGTTATAATAAATACAGATTCTTTTTTTTGCAAAAAATTTCTACAACAATTATTTAGCCAATATGACTGCTTACACATTACAGTATGAACTTTAAACTTCCTGTGGATATAAAAGTTCTCAAAACTTCATTGTTTTACCAGTAAAAAATTCTAGATTACCGTACTATAGATTATTATTGTACAGTAAAATTCAAGGATTTAGTCTCTTACTATAGTTTATGCACCACAAAATACTAAATACCTTTGTGAGACATAAAATATTTTACTGTAAATATGAAGTTATACTAATAGACAAGTTCATATTATCCTTGTGAAACAACGACTAAAATGTTTAAATGAAAAAAAATATTCTAACATGAAAACTTTAAAGAAGCCCATGTCATTCATTACTTATTTTTTTGACTGGCGCGAAATTTTGTGATTTATTTTGTCAAAAGTTTTCTCTTATAACAGTCATTCAATTTAAGTGTTTTTAAAGAGATAATCTAATTCACATACGCATCTATGCAATCAAGCAGGTAAAATGGAGAAAATAATGTAATAAGTGTTCATCACTTGATAAATAAATAGTTTTTAGCTGTTCAAAATGCAATAATTGTTTTTTCAATGAAGAAAATATTGCTTTATTCAAACAATGTCATTATCATTTAAAATGTTTTATTTGTTTTGATTGTTCAAAACAATTATCTGACAAATCATTCTATTTGGATGAACAATTACAATTAAACGTATTGTTTTTTTTTATTAATATGATCTTCTATAACAAATTTTCCATTTATGCTTAGATAAAAAATCCTCAAGTTTATTGTGAATCATGTTATATGAAACGTAGTTCTTTGTGCACCAAATGCAATCAAAGATTTACACCAAATTCAATCATCATCGAATATTTAAACAAAGAATATCACAATGAATGTTTTCAATGTTCAAAATGTCAAAACTTATTGCGTGAAAAAACGTTCTATGTTAAAAATTGTGAATTTTTATGTCAAACATGTTGCGAAGAAATCGAACCATATGTAACTCCACTCGAATCAACGAATTTGAAAGATGATCGATGTAAAAAATGTGGAAAACAATTTAGATATGGTGAAACAATATCGATTTATCTCTGCGATAAATATCACTCAGATTGTTTCAAATGTAGTTCATGTGCAAAAAATATGATTGGTCAAGGTTTCTTTCGCCAAGAAGGTGGATTGCTCTATTGCTTAGACTGCCATATTGATAAGGGACCACAATGTTCTATTTGTAAAGAACCATTTTTAACTGGAGAAATACTTTCAAAATTTGATGGGAGACAATTCCATAATACTTGTTTTTTGTGCAAAATTTGTCGTCAACCGATTGAAGCTAAAACATTTCGATATGAAAATTGTACTCCTACATGTGAATCATGCGTGAATAAAAAATAATCGGTAGTAGTTGCGGCATCACTGAAGGGAAGACGTGGCTCTATTCATTTCGCTTAGTTTTCTTTCAGCGGATTGAAAAACTTGAATTATCTCCACTCTCTTAAATTTTTAATAAAAACTTTGGCTAACCTCCTTGTAATATCTGACATCACTACTAGATGATAATCAGTAGCGTAGTTTTGGGACGAATAGCAAAAAACTTTTCGGAAATAGAGGAAAACTATATTCGTTCGTTCTTTGAAACTGATGACCAAAATAAAAAGCGACTAACCCTTTTAGGATTAACCGAGTTAGTATGAATCGCTCACAAAAGTTGAAAAAGAAAGCAACAAATAAGAAGTGGCCGTGATGTAACCGCCCCTATCTTCAGGAATCGCCCCTATCTTTTCGACAAAAGTTCACAGACATTGAGTTTATGTCAGGTCTGTTGTACCTGAAACACAAACATAGGTTAAGTTTCGGTTTATCTCTGAAGGCGGTTGGGTAGGGCTTTTCTACTTTTGGTCTCTGATTTGGAAGTCAAATCTTTCCCGTTTACAAATCAATACGTTTTAGATAAGAAGTGATTGTTTTTATATTTTTACCGTTTATTTGCTTAGGCTTTTTAAAGTGATATTTAAAAAGATAATAGAGCAAATGTATGAATGTTATGCGTTTTTTTTGAAACACACATGTTTTCTATCATCATACATGTTTCTGAACTAGTAGTTTCCACAACACTTAATGTCGTCAAATTTAGTAAGTGACATTGTTATTTTTTCCTCCCTTACTAATAAACAGTTGCAGTTATGCTGTACACGATTTTCCATATCGAAATCAGTTTCTTGCGTATTTTCAATGTCGAGTGTTTCTTTCTCGTCAAACAAAAAAGAAGTTTCCATCACTCTCGAGATGATTGGAAAGTTAGCTTGCTTCACCGTATTAATATTCTTGATTAGTATATGTTTCTGAAAAGTAGGACATATATAACATCTGCATAAATTTCGCTATAAGACAATTAGACAGTCGAGGATTTCTACTCTTTGTCTAAGATGTAGAGTTTATCAGACAAGAGAATACGATGGTCGGACGATAATATTCCGTTGGTCTTTGTGCGTATTTTCTCTCTTCTTAGCAAAAGAAAATTTCGAAGTTAACTCTATTGAAAAGTAGACGCAAGAAATAGTCGAGATAATTCTACTCTTTGTGTATAAGATACACATTTCACCAGACGAAATGAATGAAAGAATATATTCGTTAAAATTTCCTATTTGTCTTTGTTAAAAGGAGAAATCGAGAATTACGTGTGCGAAAAAAGTGAGAGAGAAATGGATGCTATTAATAGTCAAGCATTTCTCATTTCATGTATCATTCGTTCGTTCATTCATTCAGTCTACAATTCATTATTATGTCATCATCCGATAAACCACGTCAATCAACATTACCAACATCGACAATAATCGCATCTGGTGACACTCGAGGCGCTCCAAAGGCACTCGAGGCGTTTCCTATAGACACCAAAGACCCATTCGTTCCTCTTCAATCCACACGATTGTTACAAGGTTCAGACGCCGATCCAATCCTTTGGACCGGTACTGAATTAACTTGGTTAACATCGGCTGGAAATTTCCGTCTTTACAAGGACTGAAGTGGAAGTTTTGGTCTTTGGGTGCCGAACTCGCAGGCTTTTTACTCCGATGGTATTCCGCCAAACATATCGTCTCCGGATACTTTGTCTGGGCAGATGGTTGGTGAGTCCCATCGCGATGAAGCCGAGTCAGTTAGGCACGACCGTTCTTACAGTCGTGGCTCCGAATATCGACATAGTGGCAGAGTTTATACGAACTCGAGCCGTTACCATCGACAATTCAGAGCTGCTCTGCATAACTGGTCGGTCGGGTATGGAACTACTACCGATCACAATCGACAACAACACCATTATTGATTCACATCGCCGAAACAACATAATCAAAATGGCGGGCCGGTGAGTTGATCTCGATCGACAACTGGCAGCCACTCATCATCTTCTTCAAAACGAGGGAGGGTGCTGAGCTCAGAGGCCGCTCCTCCTCGGCATCTAAAATACTATCACAATTCAACGTGCTCAACAGCAAACGCGTTCACTATGGTCCCACTATCAATGCAACGTCACTAATCACCAATAATAACCATAATAACGTTCAATGACCTTTCACCGGCACAGAGACAACAGCAAAGAAGAAATTGATACGATTATGACAACAGCTGATTTAAAATTTATATTTTATTTAATTAAAATAATTAATATTTATTCAATACTTTTTCGACGTTTCGAACAACACAGTGTTCATTATCAAGAAAACATAGTACGACTTAGTGAAAATAAACTGGTGAGATGAAAACCTAAATCTGAGAAGAGAGAATACGTGTGCAAAATATAGACAAAGAAAGTGTACGTAGTCTGAAACTGAGTGAGCATAAGAAGAAAAGAATCTCCTTTTCTCTTTTTTTAGATATGATATGTATTATTCAGAAGAGAGACGAGAGAAAAAGAGCTGAATGTATAGTGATAATGTAGCCTATAAGTGAACAAAAGATGCAAGAGGAAAAACAAAGAAGAATCTTCTGTCTTGTTTGTTATAAGATGTGAATGATGTAATATGAGAGAATGAAATCATCCAAAATCTGACTATCTGAATACGGTTGACACCGCTGGCTCTGGAGAGTAGTATAAGTTTTTGGAGACCCCATTTGGAAAACATAGAGACGGATAGAGCATCTCTTATTCAATTTTGGTTAATGACTTAAAACAGTTAATGACTCCTTCATTAACAGACGCTATGAATTCTTGTTTTTGAGCAGGATTTTGAAGTCGTCCCAATCAATGATGTGATCATTCATCTGTTCAGTTTTAGACTAAATACACTTTCTTTGTCTATATTTTGCACACGTATTCTCTCTTCTAAGATTTAGGTTTTCATCTCACCCGTTTATTTTCACTAATGATGGAAGCGTTCCAAGTGATTCACCCCGGTTTAATCAGAAGATACTTTTTCATGGGTTATTTTTTATGCTGATTATGAATCTGATATTCATTTCGACCTATATGACTTTCTAGTATGGATCTTCAGCAACCATGTCTCTAGAGATCCACCCCGGATAGTTGAAAGAAGAGATTCGGATATGACCAGTTTGTAGAGCAAGTCAAGTTACGCAGGTACACAAGTTTCCAGACATATCAAACAAGTTCTCTCAGAGATATAAAATTTTTAATGTTAGAAAAACTACCATGTCTATAATTTCCACGAGTGATGAAGGAAAAATTTTATATCTCTGAGAGAACTTGTTTGGTATGTCTGGAAACTTGTGTACCTGCGTAACTTGACTTGCTCTACAAACTGGTCATATCCGAATCTCTTCGTTCAACTATCCGGTGGATCTCTAGAGACACGGTTGCTGGAGATTCATACTAGAAAGTCATATAGGCCGGAATGAATATCAGATTCATAATCAGCATAAAAAATAACCCATGAAAAAGTATCTTCTGATTAAATCGAGGTGAATCACTTGGAACGGTTCCCTCGTAAGTTGTACTATGTTTTCTTGATAATGGACACTGTGTTGTTCGAAATGTCGAAAAAGTCTTGAATAAATATTAATTATTTTTGATTAAATAAAATATAAATTTTAACTCAGCTGTTGTCATAATCGTATCAAAACGTTTACCCTTAAACAAACTCAATGTAGTAAGAAGAAGGTTTTTAAACAATGCGAGTGACAAAAACGGGTGGTGATAGAGGCAAAAAAGATGATAGAAAAAGAACCAGTCGACGACAATGAAGAAGAAGAAAAACAACAACAAGTCCAACAATATCAACGATCTCCTTCAGCAAACTCAAATGAAGACAGCAATGATGGGATGCCGGAACATATTGCCAAGCTCGTCGGAAAGAATGAGACAATCGATATCGACGATTCAGCAGGCGATATGGGACGCCTCAGCGGAGACGAACAACCGTAGCAGCAAGACAACAACAGCAGTTTTTTAAAACAAAACTGCGTGTTTATATGTACCCGTAGTTATCTGATTTTTTTATGTACATATAAATCTTTCCTCTTTTTTATTGTGTATGTGTTTTATACTTTGCTCGTGTGTTTTTATCTGTGCTCTAAATCAAAAAAATTGCTGATGAGTTTTATTCTTAAATAAAACGAAACGCATCACAACAATCTTATGTTTATACTTTACAGTCATCAATATCAAACACTAAGTTTATAGTCGAAGCATTTTCTTGCAAAAACCATTTAACTATAAAGCCTTCCATTTATTAAGTTTCAAGGAGTCTCTAATTAAGGCACTCGTTCCGTTATCACTTTCTATCTCTTGTCGTACCAATTAGAAACGTGTCTAATATGTTATTTTTACCAAGCAGCTTCTATTAGTCTTCAAGAATAGCCATCAAGAACCACTATCAACGTAAAAAGATCTATGGGATTGATTCCTGTTGTTTTCGAAATCGATTTGAATCTAACCGAAATGTTCTGAAACCGAACCGAGCTGAACGGATAATTTTTTTAAAATTAACCCAAGGTGAAAACAAAAAAATGCTTTTTCTTCATCAGCTGAGCAGTTTCTCGTTTTTGTTTCCTTGCCTACTTTTTCTTCAGTTTCACAAATAAATAAACATTTGTTATCACCAAAGACAGCTGTGCCACAAGGACAAATGAATAAAAACAAAGAAAAGTATAGAATAAGCGTTCGCTTATTCTCTGTTAGGAAGTGAACGTTAATATTTTTATAGAAATTTTTAAAAACAACATCTTTGACCATTTCTGGAGCTAGTTTTACTCATTTCTGCGTAATTATATTTCCAGCCAACCTAAACTTTTTTCTACAGCAGCATTTGTAACTGGCAGAGGTGGAACTGGTTCGATTTTAAACCGAGTTGAAACTTTCAGAGAACGTTGGTTTGGTTGAGGAATCATTATGAGAAAATGGTTAAAGCGTCACCTATCAATATTTATCAGATATCACCCAAATATAAGTGTTTTATAGTTTTCACGTTCACCCATTAGGAAACATGTTGAAGGACTCGGGTTGGTCTTAAAAGATCAGAAACCCCCACGGGTACGGCAGGGCAGAGTGTAATGTTTTTGTTTCTGCACAACAGGAGGTAAGAAAAATCAAACGCTTCAAAATCGAATGTAAAACTTTCTAGAAATCCTATTGTATTTATAAAGAACACCAGACTTGGGCTCTATCTTGCTATGGGCATCAGTGTAAGCAGAATCTAACACATTCTCGAGCTCCCCATCGTTAAAACTCCGAGCTACAAAATACCACATTCAGTAAAAGTGATTCTGAGTATAACACAAAACACTTCATTTCCTTCTTGAAAAGTTCGTTAACAGAAAGGTTAGAGAAAGATCTCTATATGTTTTCTACTGTGCTTAATTCGCTACGCAGGAGTGCACACCAGAAATGTAACCGGCATAGACTGGCGACCAGCCGGTTTAAACCGATCCCGGTCTGATTCGGTAGAGGAAAACGACGTAAACCGGTGACCGGTCGCATTTGGCTGGCTGTCCGGTCCAAAGTTTTTAGACCGGTTACGGGTCCGGTCGACAAAAATCGTGACTGTTACATCTATGGTGCACACATACGCACTATAGATGTATGGTGCGTATGTACGCCAGAGCTGTAATCGGACAGATTGAAAAAGTTAACCGGGTCGGTAGAGACCGGTATTTCACTGGTTGAAACTTTTGAAACATCTGCTCTTTTTACCTTGTTTTCGTCAAAAAACTAAAATTTCACGTCGTTTTCAGTCAGAATAAATAAGACGATGCTCAAAACAGATATTATTTTCATCACTTGTTGTAAGGTTAACTGCTATAGACTCGTTTTTATAAAGGTTCTTCCACATGTGCTCGCAAACTATTTCATTTCTGAGGGAAAATCTTTCTGAAAATCGATTTTCAAAAACTTCGCTAGTTTTTCGCCGGTTTTTCACCGGTTTGAATTATAATTCTAACCGGCCGGAACGGTCCGGTTACACTTTCAGACCGGCCGGACCGGACCGATTCGCTGTTTCTCAATCGGTTCCAGTTCTAATGTATGCACCACACGTATGTTTTAACCTTCTTTACATTTTTTTCAAAAAACTATAAATCTAAAAAAGACTTCCTTTTCCTATAAGATTTCCAGAAACCTGCTAGAAGAGCATAAAACTGTGCGTTTGAAGGCAAATAAAATAGTAGAATTGATAGAGTATACTTCAAGCTATCACACCATATGACAGGATCGATTTCTTAGCGAATGTCGTCATTTCTAACATGAAGGAAAGCCCTACAAGTTTTTTAGTTATCTTTACAAATTTCAGGAACTAGCCATTCCTTTTCAGAATTCTAGCGATATTATTTAATAAAAAATATTTATGATTAGAACAAAATTTTTTTTAATAAATTTCAAATATTATTAACTATAACACAATAATGTTTTAATGCTCTAATTTCCATAGAGTAGAATTGTTACATAAATTATTTAATTCTATTAACTCAGATATTCAAACTCTAACTTCTCGTATTTTATAAAGCATATTAAGAGTGCGTTAGAATATCAACGTTTTGTACAATATTACGTCTCTTGCCATTGGAACTAAATTCATCTATTAAACTTCGTGCGTTATCCATCTGCTAATCTACTATTTTCCATATTCTAGTATAATTTTATTGATCTAGTCCATGGTCAATATTGTTAATTATGGTATTGGTATTAGTGGGAATAAGACATCACGAAGAGAACGATTGTATTTTATATCAGATAAATTTTATTGTCAATAATCTCCTTATGCGATTTTATTTTGAGTTGAAATATTAGAATTTTTCAATGGTCAAATAGTAAAACAGAACATCTGGGACAAAGGATTTCTTTTTTTCTCACTCTCTTCAAACCGACGACGTCAGTGATATTTTTTGATACTTTTTTGATAGATATTTTTATACAACTAAATGCTATCAATGATTGTCAAGTCTCTTAGAAAGAGTGGATTAGTTACAGATGTGTATAGAAACAGTTTTATAATCAATAGATCAATGATCTCTTTGAAAAAATAGTGAATCGACAATCTTTACAGTTCCGATAGGTGGTACATCCTCTATGAAATTGGTTTTGGCTATATTCCAGTAACGGAATCTGTGTTAACAAACGCCAACTTTGACTAATATCAGTCACCTTTTATACAGAGTTTATGGAAAGAATGAAAAAGTATCAAAATCGAACTGTTTAAAAGTCATATAATCAATTCATAAGGATTTTTAGATTTACGTCAAATGAACTCAAAATCGTTCTTATTTATCAAAAGATAAAAAACCGAAATTACTTCATAATTTTATCGCTTACATTACCTACCGTGAACCGATAATACAGCGTAGTAGTATCACTTCATTTGTCACATCTGGTTTAATAGACCAACATAGTTCTTATCGATAAAAAATTGATGCAAAATTACACTACAATTACGCAGGAAGCGTTAAATTCTACATGGCATTGTGTATAAGCCTTTTCCGAAGATCAATGAATCTCTACACGATCGTGTTCCGCGCTTGAACGTATAACTCAGAGCTCAGATGATCCTTCAATACCGAAGCATAGAAAAATGTTCAAAACTCCGTAAATTATTAAATTATTCATAAGTTTCGATTAAGATAACTTGTTGAACAGACTCAAAACACAACGTTCGAAAGAGAATCCAATTTTCCATTTAGTCACGTTAAAAGAAAAATTTTGAAAATGTTCATTTAGACGATGCAAAGCAGGAGAAACTATGGAAAATAGTTGATAAAATTGTATACTTTAATTCTGCATCTTTGGCTTTGATATTAACCAAAAAAAACATGTTTAATAACGAAAAAATTCTAGTCATAGAAAAAGTAGTTATTAACTTTCTGTGAAGAAGCTCGAAACTTATAATATGTGTGTTGTTATTGTTTAGAATAAAATCATGTGTGTTGTTATTGTTTTAGAATAAAATCAATCAATGAACAATTGATAACTCATAAATAGTGTATCCTACGTCAAATATTGTCGAAAACTCAGTATTGTTAAAATTTTTAAAGGATAAGTACTCTTTTTAAATTATTTAATTTAATATAACGTTTCAATACCAGACGTGTTGTCTTTATCAGACTACATTTATATATACAAGGGCTTACAATATTGATACATAATTCTCAAATACCTAGTTTAGTAGAGAAAAAGCCTTGGCTAAAATCTTGTATCATAGATAATAGCTGATGATAAATGGTTCGACAGATACAGTTATTGCGATAGAGGAGCGAAAAAACTAATTCTAGAATTAGTGGGTGCATTCAAATTAGATGCTATTAAGGACATATACCAATCTATGGATCAATGTAAACGATACAAGAGTCTTTTTTTTTCAGATTCAGTTTAAAACATCGACAATTATATTGTGAAACTCACTCAGTGTAAAAGAGCGGATAAAACACAGTAGTTATTACTATGTCACCGTTATTATGGCTCATGCTAAATCTAATTTAGAATATTAAATTTAGAATGTATTTCCCATTCGACTATAGACGACGACTATATTATCCATACTGATATGATAAAAGATGTTTCAAATTGTCAAGTTCGAATAACATCATTAATGAAATTGAATATCAACAATGTTACGTTTTGCAAGTATATCATCGACATGTTATTCTAATAATCGGAGTCTACTTCTGCTAAATTGATTTACTTTTTTTTCCTATCACAGTATTATTATCAGTTTCATCTATAGTGATATGCTTGTTTACGAAAAGAAATAACAATTTTTTCTTTTTTTTTTTTGTATTTTGGTGGTAGCACGTTTGTCGTATGTCTCGCTATATATTAGTTCATGATAAGTAAAAATATGTCTGAAAATGTACAAAATATATTATTGTCCTTCTTCATCTAGAAAAAGTAGAACTCATTTCAGGGCCAAAAATGGTCGCATACTTTGTTTTTTCCGTTTACACAAAGATACACATAGCCATTTTTATTATAAAAACACGTTCTATTATTTTTTTGTTAGCGGAGACGATAACCTTTTCTTCTATTCATCAGTGATGAAATATCCTAAGATTAGGTTTTGTATGTATTAATAATTATTACCACAGAGGCAGAAAAAAATTCTTTCTTCTAAATAGATATTATCTTCATATCTTTTTTCTTTAATTCTCGTCGAATATGTTCTAAGATGTTTACATTGACTATAACAGACTATCGTTGTTAAGAATAGATATATCTTCTTCTTTTTCTTCTTCTATTTTTTTTGTACAATTTTATGGGAAACGTAGCGACAAATTATGCCATTTTTCTTTCTTGTGTAGACGGACATTTATCCAACAGAAGGAAGGAAGGCTTTTTATTCTTCTTTTCTCATTCTATGGTTGATAGTAATAGTTCTTTTGTGAGTGTAAACCAAAAAAAGGTATTTGTAATCTTGATAGAGAAAAAAAAAAATATTTACAAGGAAAACGGGATAGAACAATTCTTTTATCACTCTCGTATTTCTGCCGTTCTAAGAGTCGACGTGGTGATTATTAGCCTGTGTAAAAAAAAAAAAAGAAGCAGCAACTTTAAATATAATCACAATATTTTAAATTTTTCAAATTACAATAATGACTGATGTAAGTAGATGATTTTAATTTTATTCTAAAATAAACATATCTACTCTTTAAAATTATGTGTAAGAGAAGTGAGAGAAATGAATGAAAGACTGTCCTCCTATTTACTTTGAATTTTTTAGGACAAGTTTTCTATTAAAAATCATTAAGATATCTAAATATATGTTTCTTAAATTGACATTATTTTGTTGATAAGATTTTTTTTTTCTTGTATTACAATATATTTTAGAAGGACGACGTAAGTGAAATATTTTTTGTTGTGTAAAATATAGCTTGAAATTTCCCTTTATGTTAGAAAAATCACACATACATACATGCATACATTATTGCTGGAATTGAAATACTAGACTAGAAGGCTAAAATCTAAATTATATATTATAAAATTTATAGAAAAATTTGAGTCATCTTTCAATTCCAACAATCATTAATAGAAAATATATCGAATCGCAGAACATTCATTTCGCTCTATTGAAAATTTTTTAAAAATATCCCGTTATGGAACGCATTTATTCTCATCATTTTCTTTATTATTTAATACCTGTTAACCCCTCTTTTTCCTTTATCACTCTCATTATATCTCTATTTACATGTTCATTCACTCAGTTTATAAACCCTTTTCTTCCGTATCGAATTTACGTATAACATATCATTGAATTATAATATCTATTTGCACTTCAAATAGACTCTAGTGCACGATTTTACAATGGCACATTGCAACTCTTTTATTATTATTAATATAACCGAAAAATGATGATGATTAAAATATTATTAATCCTAAATATTTGTTCAATGCTACGAATCTTTATACTAATGTAAAAAGAAGTAAAGAAAGTTTTCAACCCGGTAGTATATCATTTGGCTAACCTTATTTTTAATGTCTTTTTTTTAAACAAAACACATTGATAATACATTTTTGACTATATTTATAGAAAAAGAGTAAAAAACGTGCTCAACGTGCAACAAGCAATGTATTTTCAATGTTTGATCAAAAACAAGTACAAGAATTCAAAGAAGTAAGAGTACTTTGTATCTTTGTATTTAATAAATACTTTCTACTAATATATGTGTGAACATTTTTATTAGGCATTCAATTTAATGGATCAAGATCGAGATGGAACAGTCAGTATGGATGATCTGAAAGAGGTTTATGCATCATTAGGCAAGATGTGAAAATTGAAGGATAAAATAATAATTTTTTGTATATTTAAATTTTTTTTCTTCAGGCAAAGCACCAAAAGATGCAGAATTAAAAAGTATGCTGGAAGAAGCACAAGGCCCAGTTAATTTTACCATGTTGTTGACGCTATTCGGCGATCGTCTTAACGGTAATAAAACTATTATCTTTTTCAAAATACAGTGAATTTCGATATTTTTATCAAAAGATTTTTGACTTTCCTCATCTTGTAGAGGACATCGAACTATCGAAAATTAAGTTCTCTTAACGCTTAATAAAATTATAATAAGAAAAATGTGAACAGTTCATTTTCCATAAGGTAGTCAGACATAAAGGAAAATTTAATAATACTAAAGTCGACTTTTGTCTTTTTTTTTTTTTGTTAGCTAAGCTTTATGAAACTGTTTTTTGGTTACATTCTGAAATGTTCAGACCGTTTGAACAAAAATCATCAGATATCAGATTTAGTTAAAAATAGTCTTAAAAAAATTGCATATTTTCATCAGCGTATGGTTTTAGTCAGCTTTTAGAAGTTTTGTAGAACCATACATTGCCAAGTGGCTAACGAGGATCGATTTTGTATATGCTCTAGTTATTTTCAGATCTTAACGGAAGAAGAGGGAACTTTTTACTTGCTCCCCTCCCCCACCCTTCGTGATAGTTAGGACAGCCATACTTTGACCTTTACCATAGCAACCAATGTCATTCTGCTTTGTTTACAGCAACTCATGTAAATAATTATCTCAGCAACGAATGTAGATTAATTCGGATTACTATAGCCACCCATTGTTCAATATTTTTCTTAAGATTTCGAGATACCTGCTCAATATTGTAGATAAGATATTGTTTCTATAATTGTATATTCTACATAAGTTCTAACCATCTACAATAATATAACTACATTTTGAAGAGTTTCACATTTTAGCCTCAGTATGGGGCTGTCCTGCAAATATTTTTCTTCAAAAAATTATTCATAGAATAATATCAGAAGTTCACCGTGTATCGAAACATCGTCAGAAATATTAGAAATAATAAATAATTTTGTTTAAATTAGGTACCGATGAAGAAAATGTAATATTGAATGCATTCAAAAATTTTGATCATGAAGGCACGGGAAATATTAATCAAAAAGGGTAAGAATACACTATATTTTATTTTAATATAAAAATAAGATCGTTTCATATAATTTAATTATCCTATATTGAACTTAGTTGGAGTGAGTCATTAATTTAAATTGGTAGAATAAACAAAAAATTCTAATAGATATGGAAGTAAGATGTAACGTAGTTTAGATTATCGGGATGTGTTGTATGTAGAATTTATTGTAAAAGTTTCAAATTTTATTTTTCATAAAAAATTAATAGTATTAGAAGGAGACTTATGCATGTCTTTTCTTTCTAATGGATAGTGAATAATGTTGTGAATATTATTTAGTTTAAGAGAAATTTTGACAGCAGAAGGACGACCTGAAGATCGCCTAACCGATATGGAAGTAAGAATTGATGCAACAATATTTATATTTGCACAAATAATATTAAACATATTTAATCATCTATAAACATACACTCTTATTTTCTAAGTTTTTTTTTAAAAAAAAAAAGAATGAAAGAAGACTAATCTATACGGTTGTTAACTTCATGAATCATATTGTCTTTTTTTGCACGGTTGTTTGTGATATTATTGTTCTTAAATTGTTTTGACAATTTCTTATTGTGTTTGTATTGAATGCACGTACAGTTGCTATAATACAAAATAATCTTCGTTTCATTTTATATTTTATTATTTTATTATTTTTAGTTCAGTCAAATGCTTGATGGAGCGCCAATGGATCCAAAAGGTAAACACTTAATTTTTTAAATGAAAAAATTATTGTCATTATGAATTTTTATTTTTTTTTGAGATTTTTATTTTGTTTTTTTGTTGTTTTTTCTAGGCAATTTAGATTATGCAGCATTTACACGACAAATTAAACGTGGAAAAGAAGATGAATAAATACATTTATCTACGTATTTATTATCTTCATCCATTATATTACTGAAGGGTCTATCAAGCCTTTCTTCCTCAATCACCAAGTTTTATTTTGACGAACTGTGTTTTATATCAATAATAAATATCAGGACTACATTTTAAGTAAACGTTTTGTCGTTGTGTGGTTCGCTTTTTTTTTTTTTGTCATTAAATAAAAGAAATTGCCTTTTTTTTATTTTGTGTCTTTCGTCCGAATTGTTGTTTGTGGCGGGTCTTTTTTCCTTATTTAGTTTATCTACATGTTAATTTTTTAAAATCTCACATCAAACGGTTTAGAATGCAGTTCATCACTTAGTCAGAGAAGTTCAGTTAGAGTTCAATTGTCACTAATATTTGGTCGAGCTGGTTTCTGTTTAATATTTGGAATAAATAATATATAAACCTTCTGATATGATGATTTGATTGATTAGTAGGATTATGCTAGAGAACACCATATCAATTCGGGTTAAAACTCTTTTAAGTAGATGAACGTTTTACAATTTTAAATGCTATTCAAACTGATGCTTTGAATTGGATACCTTAGATGAAATTGGACAATTAATTTTTCTTTTAATCAAAACGAAAAATTATTTTATAATTCATTGTTATTTAAAGAAAATTTTTTGGATACCTCATGCTGGGATTGTATATTGCCTTTAACATGGCAAAAAAAAACATGTTTCTTCTAAATTAAATTCTATGAGTAGAATGATCTAATAACATCACACAAATATATGGCAACTTCTAACAAAAATAAACTTAATGACGATGTAAAAAAGATGAATACCACCAAAGAGGATTATTTTAATGGTGTGCAGTTTCCGTCATCAAAAGTTCAAAAAAACACTCAAAACCAGTTGGGTGATATGACAAGAGAAATACTTCATTCAAATATTTCAAAATCGGCACCAGGACGTTTTGTATCTAAACAAAATCATAATGCAAATGATTTACCATTTGATTATAGCGATGATGCTGAACTTGCACGACGTTTATCTAAAAATGTTCATATTGAGCCGTCATTATCATCCATAGCAACCTATTCATCTTTGTCAGATCAAATTCCTGATAAACAAGTAATAATTTATTCTATTATATTGAGAGATAATTGTTTAACTGTGTATCTATTTGGAACAATTATTTAGGAAGTCGCAACACAAATCATAACGACTACACCGACGAAACTTTCTAATACTAACCAACCACATATTCAAGGTAGTTATCTGCTAATATCACGGAATTTGTTATTATTTCATATTGTATTCTCTATCTTATAGCTTCTCAACGACGTTCAGTTGTTAGCGCAGATCAGTTACGTTTAGTGATGCAACCGCTAGAATCATACAATTTAATCGACGATAATATATCGTTAAACTCTGAACGTAATAATATTCTTATGAATGCTAATACTTTTATGCCAATATCTAGTGCTTTAGCGTACTACCCGTACAATTGTCCGACATCAAAACACACGGAACAACTTATTAAAATAAAATCAAAGGTATGTAATCATATAGCATCGAATCATCTCTTTTCAACAGTATACTCAATATAGTTTCTCTCATTTCCTACAAAATTAGAACATGAGGAGTAGGTGTGCATGCTGAACCGAAAAAGAAATTGAGTGAAAGAGCTCAATGTCAGACTATTCTGACGATCAGAGATGCAGACGTCTGTCTCTGAAGATGATTGACTGCGTGGTGTGTATGGATCTACTTGAATTTGACAAGTCTAACTTTTCAGCATTGTATACCGTCAATAGTAGTCGTAAAGCGGAGTATTCTTACTTCGTATAAAACATTTAGACTATTTTATTTGTTTTCTTCTCCAATATTCTGGTTATAGATGACTTTTATACCCGTTTTAGACGACAGTATAGGCACTGTTCTACTGTTGTCGAGTTCAACTACTTTGTTCGCTCATTATTTCCTAGATAAATCTAAAAATCAGTTTAATTCTCTAAAATCGTTATTCTTCGATGAATTAAAACAAAATGTATGTCTAGTTTGCTCATACATTTTGACAGGAAAAACAAAACAAAAATTCTTTTCCATCTCTGTTGCTTGGAACATGTTTTTTTTCTTTCTTTTGTTATTCTTGTTCTTCCATTAAAAAAAATGAAAAATATTGTCTATCAAAAATTTAACAAACAGAGCGCAATACAAACTGAATAAATAGCAGAAGAGAAAATGAGGGAACATTGTGTAATCAAAATAGAAGTTATTTTAAGTGTTTATTCATTTCAAATACATAATGTAAGATCTCTACTATGATGGAGACAAATAGTAACTAAAATTATTGATGTTATATCGATGTATTTGACTTGACCGTTAAAACGAATTGATTTACATATGTGAAGAGGGAAAAATGTCGAAAAGTTATTATAATCAATTTAAAGAAATTCAAACAAAATCAGCAGGAGTTCTACCACAACAACGCTCAAAAACATTTGCTATACCAAAACGTGATACACAATCATTACCATCCTATCCAATTCCAAAAATAAAACAATCGTCAGCAGATGTTAAATCAAAACAACAACAGAAAACAACAAGACCAACAACATCTGTGATGAGAAATAAACCAATTAATAATACTAACGAAAAAATTCAATCGTCTTCAACTTCGACAACAACAAAAAACGGATCAACAACTACTCGAAGACAAATGAAAGTTGTTGCTCACGAATTAAAAAAAGATAACCTCAATAACAATACTAACAGTCATAGAACGATATTAAAACATAACACTGTAAATAATAATGATCAACGAAGACCCGTACGATTTGCCGATCAACAAGACGAGTATAGTAGAAGACTACTTCCAAATGATGACTACTTCCCTCAAAATCATTTAACCTACTTTGATACTCGACCGGTGAGTGATAATAATAATAATAATAATTATAATAATAATGATTCTACTCCTAAATATATAATTCACACACAGAATAGTACGCCTTATGTTCTCACTTTACCTCCAGTAGTACCCCAGACTCAACCCAATCCAGTTTTTCTTCTTCAACCCCCTGCTATTGCCCCTCCTGTTGCCCCTCCATACACCTATTATCCCTATTTTAATGGTCTATACCCTCCTCCCTACAACCCGTTTCATGTAGAACCTCATCAACCTGATAATTCGGTGGAAAGAAAAACATCATCTAGCTCACACAATATAAAGAAGAATATTATGATCGTCAGACGACGATCACACCACACAAAAAATGATAGTTCTGCTGCTGGAAAAGATAAAAAAGGTCGCGGACTTCGATTACGTTTGAAAAGTGAAGCTCAGTTGGATGACGACTCATCGTCATCATCATCATCATCGTCAGATGGCCAAAAAGAAGAAAAGCAGGTAGTTTTTGTTCAACATCAACATTTCCTCATACTACTACTACTATACCATGTTTTACATAGTGAACGATTAAATTTAACCTATAATTATTGTAGTCATTATATTTTCCTACAATTAATGTAGTATGAAACTCGTATACTAATAGTCACGTATAAAAAATTAAAGAAGATCATCGAGTTATATTCGACGAAAACAATTTATCAGAAATTTGATAAATACATATACGTGTCTACGATCTAATTTGTTCTTTATTATTATTACGAATTTTGTAAACAAAAAACAGTTGCAATGATTGTGCGTGCAATATATTCACACGCGTATAAAAATGGATAATTTTTACGCGTCAAACAATTTTGACGAGTAGAAAAGAGAGAGGATGCTTCTTCACTGTCATCCCATCATTTTCCTTAGACTATACTGTTGATCTATAGTCAGTCTATTTTACCAATCTGGCCTCATCAGATTTCTTCACACATTTGTCCTTCAGTTTCGCGTTAAATTTATTCATGTACATGTTTTCTGAAAGTGAGCATCAAATCCAGGTAATTTGAACTATGAATATGACTGCTCAGATGACCTGGCTTGTCAAAACCTTTGTAATTATGCTTCTCGTGTCGATCTTTATGACATTTTACAAGTGGAGAACTTCTTATACGTGATTACGTGTGAGCTTCTGAAGAATCCTTTTGGAAAAAAATTCGCAAGTTTTTTTAATGTATATTTCCTTATGGATAACCACGTACTTGACTATACGGAAAGCGTAACTAATCCAAAAGCGTTCACTTCTGTTTATACGTGAATAGCATCCAGAGAGTAGATTAAGTGACCTAAAGATCTTTCTGTAATTTCAGTATAATATCTGACTCGAACCCTCGGAAAATGACACTTTGGATCCTCGATATAAACTTTCGAGAGGTATCGATTTCGAACACTCGGATTTCGGATAGGTAGCGAGCCCTCAAGAAAAATTTCGAGCCGTCGAATAGAGATGTTCGGGACCTCTGAGCCCTCGTCGTACCCTCGGGGGAGTGAGGGCTCGGAAGCCCCGAACATCTCTATTATACGACTCGAAATTTTTCTTGAAGGCTCGCTATCTATCCGAAATCCGAGTGCTCGAAATCGATACCTCTTGAAAGCTTAAGTTGAGGGTTCGAGCCCTCGGCGAAGGCCTATTTTCGAGTACTCGCCGCACCCTCGAACGACTTTTTTCTTCTGCATGGGTCTGCATGAATTTTAGAATTCTGTAAGATGACCTGTAGGCTTATTTTGAAATTTCATGGGAATAGAACCCGCACGTTTTGTCGAGTTTTTTTTCCTGCGTGGTACTGTGATGACTAGAGGTATTCTTGTGACAATTGTTATCAGGCCTTCTCATTTCGATGTCCTATTTACTTTTTTCGACTTGTAGCCGAGTTCTGGGCTATAGCATCACGATCTCTTTCGTCAATCTCTGCCCATGTGTATCTTATTATAGTTGACGAAATAGATAATCTAAAAGTAGAAACAGATGAAGATAAGAATATCGAAATAGAAGGTTGAGAAATCGAAGAAAACCAATAACAAATAGAGCATACTGGTTTAGTTGCTCTCAGCATAAAAGAAGAAATTATATAGTCATCCTCTTCCTGTTCGACTCTTCTTCGTTCGAGGGCAGTCACGCTAATAATTCAACAAAATAAATAAAAATTCCATAGTGTGTTTACCATACAGATGTTGTTTATGCGTTGAAAGACAGCAAATAGGAGAACTCCCGTGCTAAGATTAGAAATCGAAAGATAGTCAGTCCATAAGGTAAGTATTAGCCTCTTGCTCTGAAGTTTCCCGTTTCGAACCTATAGAATTCCATGATTTTCGTAAGATACGCGGTGATAAGCGAGTTAGCAAGGTAACTTAAAATAAGCGTGAATACGGTAAAGCAAATGTGTAGAGAAAGCGAAACAGGGTAAGAAGAAAAGGCAAGTTGAAATATATAACGGAACAAGTGTCGTGTTTTTTCGAAAAAAATGAAGTTACTAAGATTTCGCGTGTTAAAAAATCAGCACAAGTGTCAGTATTCATGCATGTCTCGATTAGCGTGATCCTGTATAATTTTTCGAGATAAAGTTCACGAGTATCCGCTAGATGTTTCGAGACACACTTAAACTTTTAATATGGATGTTATAAGAAATATCCCTCAAAACGTTTTTCAGTTTTTTTATGGTTTTTTTTCGTCAGTAGTGAACATATGTAGAAATAGTAATGAACATGTGACTGGAGAATTCACGTTTGTGCATAACTCACTAAAACGAGTTTCATATGTGATCACGCTATAAAATATCAGCGAAAAATTCTCATAAACATCTCATTGCTAGTCGCAAATAAGAATTTTTTCTCAGTGTGTCTACGCAGTTTTATTTAAAATTTTCCCATAGACTGTTCATTTGAAAAAGTCTGTCGTTGCGCTGTTGTTCTTAAACTCTTACACATCCAAAGTTTTTGTTTCTATCATCAGTCACTTCTGAACCATAGTTCAATAGCCATCAACATCCATCACCCTCTTTCTAGAAAAAAAAGCTGTAAATGAAAGAAATAAGATGATAGAATTTCTTCAGTTTGATATCGAAAACTGTCAAAAACAACAACTGTTTGTTCTCTATTCTTAGTCCAAAAAATCGTCTCCTGCTCGTAGTAAAAATCATCGTCCGATTTATCAAACTGATTCTGATTCTGATAATGAAAATACACGTAATTCACGGCGCACAGTTATTGTCAAAGAACCATCAGCAAAAAGAAAAGAAGTTCGTTTAGTTCGAAAAAATGGTCAGTTGATACGTGAACCAGATACTTATTATGGCGATTCGGATCATTCAGCACGATCAACAAAAATTATTTATGTTGATAATCAAAATCGTACATTTTCTCACAGACCCCGATCAAAATATGTATATATGAATGACAACAATCCACGTCAGTCGGACATTGTTTATGTCAATGAACCGTCGCGTGTACAATATGTACCTGCACCTACGAGAAGTCGTCGACATCGTACATCATCTAAAACATTACATGGGGATGATATCGTTTATGTCGACGATAATTCACAACCAATTGAATATGTGGAATATATTGATGAACAGCCTGCTGAATATGTTGAATATGTCTATGAAAATGATCCAGTAATATCAAAATCAGCAAAATCAAATATTGTCTACGTTGATGAACCACATTCTTCTCGTTATTATAAAAAGCAGCAACCATCGGCAACCACTATTGTGTATCAATAATGTGAATATATTTTTCGTTGTGAATTGTTCATTTCTCCTTTATTATTAAAACAATACTATCAAGCCTTCAGCATACAGAAGGTACTGTTACTTTACATAAAAAGAAAATAGTTTTAAAAAGGACAAAAACACAAAATAACGAAGCAAAAGTTTAGTTTTACGTCTTCACATGAAACGAAGTGACTAGCGGTTGTGTTGTGTGATCATCGTTCAGAGTAAGAACACCATTATTGTGAGAAGATATCGGTATTGTTGATGGTGAGTTAATAGATCGTCTGTAGATACTTTTTCTTTGAATATGACGACGAATAATAAGAAATCCTAGCATAAATGTTATTATAAGTAATATTAATGCTAGAATAATAAATATATTTTTCTTTTTTGTTTTCATCATCGAACAACCAATTTTATCTTGTTTATAAAGCTCAAACCAGAAATCATACATTGAATCAAAATAATTTTGTCGTCTTTGAATATCGTTCAATTTTAAATCAATATAGGCACGATTAACATTTGTATACGCGTTCCATTGTACAGGTACTGGTAAACCATCATTAGGATCACTTAAAAAAGAATAATTTTGAAGAAAAAAAAGCTTACTGACTGACTATAGCTTTGATTTTAGTCTACTAACCCTGTTTTAATGAAATTTGTCCAATATCGAATTATTTGTCTACTAAATTCTTGTTCTTCCACAGAATAATTATACCAATTTTTATTAACATTATTGTGTATTTTTGGATAATCTTTTGCCAATGGAACACCAAATACGTAATCTAATTCGGCAAAATGTCCAACAACAGTTGGCAATGTTTTTAAATGATCTCGAAATAAACTTTTTGCTTTAAATGTTGGCTTATGAGAATAAATATAAGCGTATGTTGATGAATTTACATTGGGAGTTTTAGCTCGAATATTCAATAGTTGAACCATATGATAATTAAACTTAAAAGATAATAGAATATGAAAATTCTACACTAGATAACTAATTGTCTAAAAATCTTACCATCAAGTCTGATACCAAATCAATATATAATCGTGAACGAATTGTTATATTATTCTTACCTACAGATGAAATTTTCATATTTTTTTTTCAGTTTTTAAACTAAAAAAATTATCTTCATGTAAAACGAACCTGGTGTCTCATATCGTTTTCGTACATTATCCAAATGACAATGTCCATTAAGAAAATTTGCATTTATATAACGTTCAATATAATTTACTTTTGAAAATTGTTTCAATACTCCATAGGCATCTAATTGAAAATAAACGTTTGAATCGGGTGTATTTTTTTGTTTTTCTTCCAATGATTTTGGATGTCCATCATCATTCAACGGTAATGATCGCACTTCATCTTCATTAATCGCTGATATTGGTACAATATCCGGTGGTAAAATAATATCATCTTCCTTTCGTACTAAACGTTTTTCTCTGAATTTATTTTGATTATTACTATTATTATTATTGACAACATTCTCTCTTTGTTTCATGTTCGATGAAAAATGACTACTATAGAAATGTGCAATATGATATTCAGCAAAATAAAGGCCTTCATTTAATGTGACACCCGTCATTATGTCAATGTTTTGATAAGCATTACTTTGAAGTGTATTTTCTAATGTATCGTTCAAAAAATCGTTGTCAATCACCGGATAGGGATTATCATCCGCTATTAAATAAGAAGTATTTATTTGATATAAATTCTTTCTATTAATTAAAAAAATAGCTTACCTATATTTAAACTTAGATGTAAACGATAAAAATCAATTTTTTGTTCTAATAATTTATAGACACAATCTAACATTCTATTCTCTTCTAAATGATCACATCCAAATTCTTTTGAAAATCGTTGTACCAATTTCATTGGACGATGATTAATACTCCATGGAGCTAAACCTGTACCAGACTGTGATAGTACACGTTTAATCATACCACGACAATAGGGACTAGCTGGTAATAACATAACATTTCCTGCACCAGCCGAATGACCAGCAAGAACAATTCTTGTATTATCACCTCCAAAGAGATGTGCATTTTCAGATACCCATTGAATAGCTAATAATTGATCCCATAGTCCATAATTTCCTCGGAAACAAAAAATAAAAGAGATCTCGATAGTGAAATATATTAGAGAGACATATTTATGATTAACTCATTGTTATTTGTTTATCAAATAAAAGAGTTATACACAATAAAAACTTTCAATATTTAGATTTTCAACACTAATGTCTAGATAAAATTACCTTTTATACGTGTATCACCACTGCTTAAAAATCCATGATAATTTAAACGAAAATTCATCGTAACAACAATAATATCACCTTCACCGGCAAGTATACTACCATCAAACAAAGATCCAGCACCTAAACATAATACAAAAAATGAATCATAAATTAAAAGTTTTTTTTGAAAAATTAGTTAAAAATTAGATTAATTATTTCACAATATTTTTATTATTAACATACAAAATATTTAGTATATTTAGTTTCAATAATTTTAATACAATATTACCAATTTGATTGCTGCCACCATGTGAAAAAATTGTTATAGCTTTTTTTCTTTCACCAAATCTTAAATCAGATCGATAAATATTTAATGATAAACAATTATTATCAAAATTTCGTTTCATAACAAATGAACCATAGGATAAATTTTCTGTCATAAGTAAACTTTGCATACAACATGGTCCAAATGTAGTAGCATTTTGAATTGTATATGAAAATTTTTTTTTTACTGGTTTTTGTAATGGTAATGGTGATTCAGCATAATAGACACCAAGAAATTGATCAATATATATATTATTATATTCGATTCGTTTTCCATAATATATACCCGTTGATGATATTAAAAATGGTCCACTATTATTCGAATGATTATATGCTGCTGATTTTAATACATAATCATCATTATTAAATGATGAAAAATTGATAAATGTTTGACATGGTTGTGGTAATGTTTGATTAAATATTAAATGATCAACAATACGTTCATATGTTGGACATTTAATATTAGTTATAGCATTAATCGAACGAAAATAAAATAGAATAATGAATGAGGTATAATAATTAAAACAAAAAAATATTGTACAACTATAGTAATAGATTAAATTTTTTATCACAGTAATTAACATTCTACACATACATACAAATAAGATTTCTTTTTGTTTTTTAAAAATTATTTTTCAATTAATCAATCTTGTTTTAACACATAATTTACTCATTTTTCTTTCGTCTCCATTTCTTGTATAATTAATATTGTCATTTATTCGTATTCAAAAAGTTTTTTATCTATATATCATTTATTTTGTACTAAATGAATTAATATTGTTTTAAAGTAACATGTCATTTAGCTAACAAACGTCAAACTAAACAAAAATAATAACAAAATAGCATAACAAATGAGAATATTTACTATAAATATAGATATTGATAGACTTGTTATAATTTCTTTTTTATTTTTTTTATTAAAATATATATCATTTCTAGTTAGTTAGTTATAGTTTCTTTCTCTTTTAGATTACATATACAACCATCAAAAGTATAATTTCATCAAGTAAATAATAATAATAATAATAAATGACATATCTAGGTATACATTAGCTAAAGAGTTACGATTTCTGTTTTTCTTGAAAACATCATCACATTATCAAGTGTCTTATTTACGCAGTTAGCGTCACAATAAACTACTAATAACTTACACTTTTAATGGAAATTTTGCTAAAAACAACTATATATATATATATATATATATCTATTCAAATTTTGATGTACATAATATTGAATTATGCGTACCGTTTGAAATATCCGTATGCTCGATTATTAAAATAAAATTATAGTTCAACAAACGTTCTAATTTTTTATTTTTTTGTAAACTAATGTAATAGACAAAAAAAGTAAAAAAAACATTTCTTTTCCTTTACACATCTCCAAGAACAATAGAGTAGATAGCAATATTAGATATATATGATGTTGTACTTCTATTGGTAAGACTGAGTTCACATTTCGATTTCTGTTTATTTTTAAATGTTATTTTTATTTAGTAGATTTGACATGATCCTATTTGCAGAACTTTATGTTTCTTGAGTGTTTATTTCACTTATGAAATTTAATATGTGTTTGCATGATGTTCGTACACTAACTATCAAAATGAAGAGAAACAAAATAAATTTTTAAATGTATAGTTTTAAGCAGTCAGTATTTAATGAAAATATTTCTGATGTTTATATTTAGATACGTAAAATATAAAAAAGAAACGAAGAAGAATGAAAAATAGTCGAAATATGATACTTAAACTTATCTATTTTCAAATAAGTGTAATTGGTGATTTGTTATTGCCGTGGGTTTCGTTACCACTTAAATTTTGATAAATCAGTAAAGGTTTCTTTTTTTTTATTTTTACAATGATACAAAACTAAAATCGTGCGTACATTAAGATTATTAAAGACAATTAAAAAATGAAACATATTCTGTTTTGAAATCTGTATTAGTTGTCAAAAATGATCATTAGTTCTTTATACTATGAAACATCTTTTTTTAATTAGCTGTTGTGTATATGTGTGTTTATGTCTGTCTACGTGTGTACGATATTTAATGCTATTAATCCATTATGATTTTTTTTTTTTGTCCTTTCTCTTAACATCAGTGTGAATATCAGATTTTTCACGGGCAGTGATCTACATATTTATATATGTTAAAAATATTATAAAATGACTTTTTTTAAATAACATCTGTTCGATTCATTTAATTTTTGTGCTTTCAAAGTAGCAGCAGTTGTGTATTTTTAATCTTTTCTGTCTGCGCTTAAGAACTGAAAGATTGAGTGTCAAACATGACAACAGATTTAGTTGAACGACGATGCTAGAATCAGTAGATGAAGGAGAACCTTCGTGAAACTAAGACGATCTATAATTTGACTACTTAGACTGCTCTATAACAGAAATTTAATGAAATTTTTCACCTACGCTTGAACTTTGATCGAAGATGAAATATGAAATTGATAGAGTAAAAGAATTTTTTGAATGTTTGATTCGTTTCACCGAAGAATGAAAATAATTAGTCACTCAACTAACTTTCAACCTATAATAATTGATACAAACAAAGAATTACTATATCCTTGCGATTACTCTTTAATTAGATGAGTTACAAGATTTCGATTTTAAAACAATAACGAAAATATAATTTTCACTTATAATTATTGTAAAAAAAAAGAGAAGTGTTATAAATTTTTTGTGTAAATTCGTTAGTAACGATTCGTTACGTTTCATTACAATCAGTGCCAGACAAATTACTGCATTCAACACTAATTCAGTTAAATTCATAGATCAAAATTATTTGACGATACTCTTACCATTGAATTCCCTATTTTCAAAATCTAGCACTTTTTCCCCTAAAAATATTTTTTGAAGAGAACATCATCACTGGATTTGAGAAAATATAACTTATGAATTCTGATCCTTGCCCCATCTCAAAGCACTCATTATCTCAACCTGGAACTTTGAGCATTGTCTATTTATACAATGTTCTTTGAACCCTGAACGTTTTGCTCATATCGGATTTTTAATATGCAGAAAATTTTTTTTAATGGAAGTCTCGAGTCAACAAACAAATTCATTCATCTCTTAAGAGATAAATATGTCGAAACTTACCGATAACTACACAATGACTTCATTCAATCGTATAGAACATTTTTACTATGCTTAATAAAGTGTTCAAAAACTAGGCGACACTTTTGTCATAATTAATAATTAGAGATGTGCAGAAAGAAATTAGTTATCACATTGTGTTTGGACTTTTCTCTTTCCTCCATCTTTCTCTTCTTTTTCTCCACAGAACTGTTGATGATGCATATGATTATAATAATGATCGAATATTTATTGATAACACTTTCATTTGAACTGTCTATGATGGATGATGGCATTCATTCCTTTTGCATACAAGAACACACGATTACCCTTGAAACATATATTCATATTGAGAATAGTAGAATACTTTCTTTTTCCTCAAAAAAATATCTGTTAGACATACTAGATCAATTGAGAAGTATATGGTCAATCTACGTTTATGTGTATTATAAATAAGGCATGGACATGCACATTCGACTTACTTCAGGAATATGCAATAGTTCACTTTGTGCACCATCATTATAGTGTTCAAATTGATAAGATCAATTTTCATTTAAACAAAAAAAGGGGCATTAAGAAACAAACAATAACTATTCCATCAGTAATTTATATTTATTATTAAACTATTAGAGTAAATCTAATTGAAAAGAGCATGATTGACGATCAAGTGATGTTATCGTCTCGTAAAGAAATAACACACGATAAGCTTTTCATTCGTAATATTTGCTCAATTTTAATGATTTTTTAAATCATTTTCGTTTGTAAATGCAAAAATATTTCTAGGATTGAACAAAAATAAGAAAAAAAAATGACACTTCATTGACTTTTTTTTCTTATCCACAGTTTATTAAAATTGTTTCAGTTGTAGATTAAATGAGACTATCCAGTAATATGTGTCAAATTTGTATGTTTAATGAGGTTGATGAGTTTTATTGCTATCGATTAGTTCTTTTGGGGATGATACTTTACCGCAATCTGTTCTTTGTATACTTTTTGCAAAAATTATAATGATAAAGCATTCACGTAACAACAAGTGTTATCATGACATTAGTGGTAGTTTTTTCATTACAAACACAACGTAAGTTTTAAACTGATAGTAAATTCATCAGGAAGAAAAAAGGACTGCTAAAAACGTGCACACACTCAAAGTGATAGCTTTTGGAGAAACTTTGTCTTTTTAAGTGATACTTTAACCAATTCAAGTGTCACTTTGCCTTTTGATGCACACACTTAAAAAAGTAAGATATCTTCTTCGCACAATAGTTACAGTTTCTTAGACAAACAAGGCAGGTGTTCTTGACTATCAGCACAAATTGAAATGATGCACTTGACATATGATATAAGCTTTATTCTTCCAGAATACGAGAGAGATAAATTTCATTTTAGTAATTTAAACCATTCAAAAACACAAAATCAATTTTATACTTGTATAGACTCAATGTAAAATTACTTTTACAGTAAAATGCAAAAGTAAATTTATTGTGCGTAGTTTATATGCTGTACAACGACTGAAATTGTGTGATCGATCAACTGTTGGGAAATTATTCTCATACTATTAATAATCTTTTCTTTTAACCTGCTGTCGCCCATATTCTCCTTCAAGTACAACAATCAAGAAAAACATTATCTACAAATAGACATGCATCGAGTAATTGTCTAAGGATTTTATACTTTTTTCAAAATCTGATGTTTCGTAAATTGCTTTGTTAAAAATTTTCTCACTCGGTAAGAATGTAGAGCAAACATTTCTGTGAAAAATGAGAGGTTGAACAGCTCTGTATGATTTGTTACCTCAAGAACACATAATCGAGTAGTAAACGAATACTCGATTAGTCCATTATGGAGGTATCGCTGCCAAAATCTCAAAACAAATCGTATAGAGCTGTCCAACCTCTCATTTTTTACAGAAATGTTTGCTCTATATTCTTAGCGGATCAGAAAATTTTTAACGAAGCAATTTTACGAAATGCCAGGTTTTGGAAAAAATATAAAATCCTTAGATAATTACCCAGCGCATGCCTATCTACAAAGCCGTTTTATACTAATACATCCTAACTTTACCAGTTAGTGTAATAATCTGACTATTTTATATGATGAAAACCAGCTCAACTACATCTGTTCTTATGAACTATGTACGATAAATTATGTGAGTAACTTTTTTTAATTCATTCAAAGATAAATTTTCCACAACCTACTGTGCGTAAAGAAAATCAGAGTAACCGTACTGATATTTATGGAATACTTGACTAAAACATGTCCTTGATTTTATTTTAACTTTTTGGAAATATAAAAAAAGTAAACAACACCAAATAAAATGGGCTATATGATACAAGGATGAATAGTATTAAAAAAAAAACGAGTGAGATCGATACAATAGTTACAAACACAACTGACGTGTAGAATGAAGTAAAACATAACATAAATTGAAACATAACATAAATTGAAACATCACATTTACGTAGATCAAAACTGTTTGTATAAGTATTGTGGCAATGTAATTATCATGTTTCGTACATGTCCATAGAAAACTATTTGAACTATTTTTGTTTCCATTAATTATTTTATCAACAGTGTATCAAACATCAAACAAGGTAAATTGAAAATATATTAAAAGATGAAAGTAGAACGTATCTACTTCGTTATATTATAATTAACTCATTATATTAGTCTTTCTTCTGTTTATCAGCTATCTTGTTGAAGAAAATTTTGAATATCTATGCCTTTGTGATCTGACGACGATGAATGGCGAGAACGTTCATTGTTACACTAGAACAAATAGAAGATAAACTAAGATTTTAATTTAATCAAGAAAAAAATGAAACTTAACGTATAAGAAAATTATTTAAAAGTAAGATAATTATTTTAGCGTACCATTCTAATCTTGTGAGACGTTGAATATCACGACAAATACCTTTGCTCTTATAATACGTTCTCAATTCGAAATTTAAAAGAGTAAACGAGTGAGTATTTAGTCTTCAATGATCTATCTATTTTCACAGTAAACATGCATCTATAGTTCAATTTTGCTGCAAAGTCTGATTCAAATAGATTGTAAAAGATTAATCTACTAAAGAATAATAAACTTATTGAAAGTAACTATTAGCATAAAGCAAATAAAGATGTAAAAGTAACGTGATTTATGGCAGTTCTAATAAGAATTTACTGAAGTTGTACGTTTTTTCTAAAATAAAAATTGAAGTATATTTAAACTTACATCAATAAGAAATTTTCGTATAATTTGTGAATAATCGCTTGCTAACCATGTGGTATTATGCATACCATCTGGAAAATTATGAAAATATTTTTTTTGACTTTTACATTCCTAAAACAAGACGAAAAATAAAGAATGTTTAGTTGATAGTTTCTGTTAAACAAAAAATAATTACTTCAAATAATTTTTGCATCATGATAGTTGGCACAAGTTCATCCTGTCCACCAGACAGAAATAAAACGGGAACTTTGATATGGCGTATTTTTGATAATGAAGAAAACTAGATAAAAATAACATAAACACATTTGTTTTTTAATATACGATGATCGAATACATACAACATTTTTATAACACCAATTTGGTACATAATCTAATACAAACACTTGAAATAAACGTTTAGCCATCTCAGGTATACTAGTAAATGTATTTTCGACCATAACACATGATAATGGCGGCACTGAATTCATTTGTCCGAGCTCAGACGCTAAAACAAATAGATTTTTAATAATTACAACAGTAAAGCATTTTTCTAATCGATATTTACCAAGATGAAATGCAACAGCGCCTCCAAGAGATCGACCAAATAAAAATATTTTCTCTTGATTTAAATCTTCTCGTTTTCGTACAAAATCGTATACAGCTTGAGCATCCGTATATAAACCCATTTCAGATGGTGTACCAGTAGATTTTCCATATCCACGATAATCAAATAATAAAATATTAATATCACAACTTCTATATAATATCTGAGCATTTTGAAGTCTATGGCCAATATTACCAGCATTTCCATGAAAAAATATCATTGTGTCTTTCTCACTGTAGCGATGTTGTTGTTTAATAAGATATCCATGTAGTTTTTCATTATCTGGCGTTTCAATTGTGACTGTTTCAAATGGTAAACCCATGCTATCTGGCGACATAACAACGGTTCGAGATGTATCTGGCTCGTTTGGTTGAAATAATAATGAATCTTGAAATCCATATAATGAACCTGTAAGTAGAACAATATAGTTAAGTTAGTACTCAAGTAACACTGAATTTTTAAGTAAAATTAGCAATAGTACATACTTATTTGTTGTTGAGCATTCGCAAAGAAAGAAGTTATTGACTGCATTTTTTCTACAAAAATTTACGCAAAAACTCGTTATACGTCAAATCTATTTTTTACATTGATTTTATTAACGTATGTATATATATATATATATCAATCTATAAAAATTTTAATATAACAAAAATAACGAATAATAATCGCAAGAAAACAAAATACGTGCTCACAACAATGGTACTTTGCCTTTTTAAAACGCTAAACAAATAATAGTTATTAGACATAGACAAATAACAAACATAGTTAATAATATTAGTATTCTCTCTTTAAGATATTCACTTTAGATTAGATAGTAATGCGAAGTAAAAACACTTACTAAGTATACCCATGACAATAAATATTATAATCCAAGAATGTCCGTACAAATAATAGAGTAAATAGAAGGTAAAAGTTGATAACATACATGTAATCCAAAATTCTTTTAGAAATTTGTTGGCTATAGTTGATGATAAAAATGATGATAATATTAAATTATGTATTCTACCCGAAATTGGTCGCAAACATCTTCTTGGTGAGAATAACATTATTCGTTTAAACAAGAAAAAATGACGACAACGAGACAACAATCTATTCGACGATGAATGCCACAACATGATCGTCCATTTTTTAGTAAGTATTTCTTTTTAGAATAAATTAGAAAGAAAATAAGAATATTTTTGTTTGAACATCTTTTGTATTATATACTGTCTAGAAAAATTATACATACAAAAGTTTTAAAGCATTTTATACATCCTGTTAGATCAAAAAACAAAAACAACACTCCCAAATATATTCTTGTTTTGGATATTATAAATAAAAAATAGTAATGATTCTAACTTATTTATTCACTTTTTGTTCACGTAAATTGCCAACAATACATACATATATATATGTGAATAAAAGCGAGAGAAAAAAACCTAGCCAGTGTGCATACGCAAAAAAGAGTTTGTCATCATTTGCAGAAAAATGATTTACAATTGTTTTTATTAAGTGTATCACTTCCCAACAAAGAAAAAGAAACGATAAACATTCTCATCATTTATAATAAAAATAAGATTGAAGTTAAAACAAACCCGTAACTAAGGATAGATTATTGGGGGAAAAGGTAAAAACAAAATCGTAGACAAAAAAAGCTACGGTTCAACTCAACAATAAAAAACAGTACTTAAAGACGCTGTTGAGGTCTTTCTGGTATTAATGACGAGAAAAATGCTGTTATTGCAAGAAAAAATAACCGTACAGGCGTTATTTGATCATTTACAACCGGAACTTGTGCAGCAGCAGACTAAAAGAGAAGACACATTATTGTTTTATTCTGCGAAGGAAAAGCATGGTGATGAGGGCATGAGCTGAGGAAAAAGACATTTAGTTGGAAAACTATTCCCACATTGTTTGTTTATAATCTTTTCATTTAGTTGGAAAAAACAAGCTTGATCATTAGATCCATTGATTTCTCCGTTACTGAACAACACTCATGTGCACTTAGATGACGTTTTCCTCAACTTTACTGATTTATTTTTTGTGTGGTACAAAGGTTAAGATAGTGTTTGATTTACGCGCTGAATATCATTGCCATTTGGTTGTTCATTAGGAACCTGTGGTGTGGGAGTTTGTTCCGTATGCTCCTGATTTTCTTCCTGTGGTGGTTGCTGTTGAATACCAGACTGATTTGCATCTGGTTGTGCTTGTGCTGGTTGTTGTGGTGGCCGTACAGATACAGCTGGAGGAGTTTGATGTCGTGCAGGCGGACGTCTTCTACGACGTGATATGGTTAAATACCCTCGACAATGACTGAAACAAAGCATAAATGCAGATAAGAATGTTTAACGATAAACAGTTTTACTTACAGATATAATATTGCAAATATGATGAAAACAATTAAAAAACGATGAAATGTCGAGTAAAAATATATAATTGAACATAATACAAACAATTCTGCAAGCATATGCAATGTGCCAAGTAAATCGTCTTCTCGCTCATTATGTGCTCTTTCAGCGTGTGGTCTTGCTGGTGGCACCGGTGCAACTGGTGGTTGAACAGATGTCGGCGGTCTTTGAGTATCGCTTGCTGCACTATTCTGTGATTGTATCACATTTTGACTCTGATTACTGTTTGATGAAACTGTAGAAAACGGATTATAAATTCCGGATATATTACCACTTTGAGAGAATAACAAATTCTGACTAAAAAGAAAAAGGGTGAAAGCACTGTATTTTTAAATGATACATTCTTTACACTTAAAATGTGGACCACCTACTGCATTTGATAATAAATACTACAATATTGCAAATAAGCCATGTTGCTTAAAAAGTTGACATTGCTGGGTCCCATTGTAAAACTGAAAAAACGTTAGTGAATATTGGCAAAAAAGTAAAGAATTATTATAAGACACCAACCTTTGTAATTGTTGATTATAAGCACGCAGTTGCTGACTATATTCTTCATAAGCAGAAGAATGCTGAATATCCGTTGCTCTTCTCTCATTATCAGCACTAATAGAAGAACAATTTGTTGTTGACTCTATATCGGCTTTTCGTTGACGCAATTCATTTTCATTTTCTGAAATAGTTGCTGTCGCTGTCGATGCTGATTTAGCTACCTGATGCTAAAAGAAGAATTATTCGAGATATAACGAAAAGAAAGTCTGAAATTCTTACAGAGATTTCAGCAGCTAATACCATATGTACTGTTGAAGTAGTCGATTGTGCTGCCTAATAAAACAAACAAATAATGAAACACAAATCACTAATCGTTTCCTAAACATCTTCTAATTGCTTACTGATTTAAATATCTGATGTAATCTAGTTGTGTCTTCGAGTAATTTTCCAGAATAAATTAAACGTTGATTTTTTGGAGACTAAAATAGGAGGCAGATTACGAATTTGTCATAAACATCTCAAACCAATATACCGGCTTCGTTGGATGCGTCAAAGACAAGTTTTGTTTTAATTCATACACAGTTGAAGTCAGCGGAAGAGAAGTATGAAAATCAGAATGTTTACTATTATTAACCATTCGGATAATAATATTAACAGTATCAGAAGTTACTGAAGCCATCTAAACAATTCAAAACAAATGGTTAGAAACACATTCGCGCAACATAGTCGTACACTAATATCAAAACAGATCTAAAATAAATCTGATAAATATAAAGTTAGAAAAAAACAAAGAAGTAGGATAACACGGCAAAATTTAATGTTTTTTTGTATCAGACTTGGAGTAATTTGATCACAAGCTGCTTCATTTTAATGATAGAGAAGAGAGAATTAATGCATGAGGCTAAAGAAGATAAAGAACAGCTGGTTCTTCTACAGATCGATCACCTCCCTAGTGTAAAAGTGAGCGGCGGTAGCGGTGAGAGTGAGTGATGGTAGTATAGGGAGGTAGTCGATCTGTAGAAGTACTGAATGGCCTTCTAAACTTATATAAGTTGCATTAGTTCAACTTGAAGAGAGCAAACAAAATATAAACACCTGTAATCACGCTAAAATAAGAAATCATACGCGTTTTGCTAAAAACAGTTGCTTTGAAGTACACTGCACATTTTGCTCGAAACTATCAGATGGTACAAATATCTCCATCATTAAGATGCGAGTAGACCCGAATGAATATAAATAAATATTTATAATTATTTATTATTATTCATTTGACTACACAACACGACAAATTCTATGTTGTGAACCGACTAGGAGTGAAGACTGATTAATGCTTCGTCAGTTATATGCTGTAGCAACGTCAAGGTAGTCTAGCAATACTTTCGAACTCCGAAAATGAAGTTAGATTAACTTTGTAGAAAAGCTTTAGGGCTTCATCTTGAATTTCAATGAAATTATATCCGTCTATAAGCGTGCTCGCATAGTTGTTGAAGTTTCAGCCTTATTGTTCTTTCCTTTCTGAACTATTTAGTTGGTAGAAGAGAAAATCCTAAACAAAATATATATGCAAGTAGAAATTGGGTAACTGATACTGATTCGTTGCTGTACATCACCATAGTGGTACGATCTGCTCCTCTTCATCGCTCTCTTACACTTATCTGAAAGAAAGTATTTTGGTGTTACAACGATCTAGAGTACTATAAGCTAGATCCCAAAACTTTTGCGTGCAGCTTAGCTCGACCGGTTTCAACAGGTGTCGTAGCGATATAATAATAAAGCACTGCTATAGATTTTACTATAAAGAGTGTGATATGATGATGAGGTGAATAGTCAAACTTTTGAAAGATAAGAGTAAAATGTTCGATCGGCATACATTTTTTTTTACTATTATATATACGGTGTCAGGTGTAGAATTGGTGAATCATTCGGGTTTTCTTTCTGTAGCTGATAAAACAACGTCTCCCTGTATTATTACTAGGAGGACGTGTGATTTACACATATCTCTTAATTCTGGCGCTTCTATTGTGAAGAGAAATCTAGCAATTTAAGTGAACTTAATAAATTCAAAGTTTTGCTGAAATTTAATCATATTAATGGTCTAACAATAATGTAGCGATCTATCAACCAATCACGTTACACAGACGATTCTCATTAGCTCTTACATTTTCTAAATGTCAGTAATGTCATGTTGTTCTGAGTACCGTTTTTCTTCTGTTCTGTTTGAGATACAGGGAGTGTACGTAAATAACAACGTACAGATCGTGCATATTTCAAAGAAATATTGAAAGCATTTAATATTCCAGGTAAAAAAGCGGTATTGAGCTATGCTATCATAAAGTCAGATCTTGTGTTGCGCGCAGATTACTTTCAAAAACACTTCCAGTAAAACAATTGTTCTGCATTGTCAATAGCAAATGTCGAAATGACATTGATATTGCGCAGAGCCAATAGATAGGTTCAGAAACGTGCCGTGTTGTAAGGATTTAATCACGAGGCATTTTTTATTATAGTTGTTTTTTATTTTTTTTAATCTGAGTGCAGCACTGATACATATGAGTACCAGATTGCCGTATCATAATCACTCGCAGTACCTGAGTACTTCTCTTATGAAACGAAAAGATGCAAGCAACAGAAATATCACAATTGTTCGTTGATATGTTTATATAAGTAGACATTGAGGATACAAAACGATAGTTAAAATAGTTTGGTTAGTGGCGTAGAAAAATACGTCTTTTTAGCAATGATATGCAGGCACACCTAAATAGTACCGATTAAAAGACCCATTCAAGTTTCTCATTCATGCGTACTCGTGTCAAACAAAAATTATCATTGTGCGCTGATGAACACCGGTGTCATAAAAGTGCCGATAAATTTCCTCTTTATAGCGCATTCATTCCGAATAATCGAACGTAATGTTCATCAGAAAGCTGACAGAAGATCAGATTTCCATTTTGCTTTCTCTTCCTTTTCATTTTAGAATCTCTTTTTCTTAGATCTGTAAATGATATAGATATTCGTATGATTGGATTATAAAACATTCAGCTTTGGGGTTCGTTTAAAGATAATGAATCGTGTGAAAAAAATTATTAGCAAGAAAAAACGACGTTATCAACAAGATGGTTTTGATTTAGATTTGAGTTGTATCCTTTTTTGAACTTTTGTACATACCAGATGCAACCTTTTGTTGCGCCCTTAACAATCATATTCTCAGTTTCGCAATTCTTTTTCAATTTTGAAGAACCTTATTATAGTGATGTGATCATAGTTGCTACGTTTTAGAAATTTTTGAATATGGGAAGAACTTCTGCTGAGCACCTATTGTAAAATGTTAGGTTTTAAAGCCATTAATTTTTTTGGTGTTGTTATTATACATAGCCAAATATGAAACAGTTTTTTTTTCGTGTCAGGTATGTCTGACTGTTAAATGTAAACGGAATGTCTTGATTCGCATCTGATTTTTGAACAAATATAAGAGTCTTTAACAACTAATAGATATTCGACCAAATTTAGTAGCAATGGGTTATCCGGCCGATAGATATGAAGGTGTTTATCGTAACAATATCGAAGATGTGAGCAGGTAAATTATTGTGTGCTTCTATAAAACTTATTCATAATTTACTCTTTTTCACTTGTACTATATTACTTTACAGGTTCTTATCACTGAAACATGGCAATAAATTTTATGTGTACAATCTGTACGTAAATACTTATTGTTGTAGTTGCAAAGATTTACTCTTAAATGGTTGCTCGTTTTTTTAATTGTTAAGATGTGTTGAAAAAGAGCGTCAATATAATAGTACACGATTCAAAAATCAAGTTTGTTCTGATTTCACATTTGAAGATCACAATCCTCCACCACTCAAAATGATACTATCGTTTTGTCAACATGCCGAATCACAATTAAAAGATCAACAAGATCGAACATTAGTCATTCATTGTAAAGCGGGCAAGGGGCGAACAGGCGTTATGTCTTGTTGTTTCTTATTAAATTATTATCGTATGGAATATAATGACCCATTAGATACACTAAGATATTATGCACAACAACGAACATCAAATGAAAAAGTTTGTGTTTTGTGTAGTACGTCAGAAATACTTTTAAAAGTCACTCATTTTCCATCACTTTTTCAGGGCGTAACAATTCCTAGTCAAAGGAGATATGTTGAATATTTTGGACATCTATTAAATACCGGTGTATCATACTCAACGAAACAAATATGCTTTTCTGGCTTATTAATAACTTATGATTATAATCAAGTATTACACACCAGTAAGTCAATATTGTTTTATTTGCTAGAAAAAAAACTTGTCAATTGGATTTCGTTAAGTAGATCTTTTCAATTGTTTTACGTTGAAAGATTAATGGTGACAGATACTTTCCCTAAAAGCTTCTTCTTCAAAGAAAATTTATGCACAAAAGATTTTATTATTATTATTATTTTGAATCTAATCTTCTCGAATTTAAAACATTTTGTTGTTCTATTTTCTAAGGTTTGTCTTATACAGTTAAATCAGCAGATCATAAAATTCAGTATCAATCATTCGATATTCCCGTTGAACGTGATTTAACCAGTCGTCGTGATACTGCTTGTTTATCGTATAATATATGGGATTTAAGTAAACGTTATTTTATGCCACCATTAAATCAACAATGTCAAATACCGTTAGAAGACGATGTTCTAATAGAATTATACACAAAAAATAAACGTGGAAAACTGGTAGATAATATTTATTTTGTGTTACTATAGTGAGTGAATACATGTTTCTTTCTTGAAGGAAAAATTATGCCATTTTTGGTTCAATACTTTCTTTCTTGTTGAACCACAAATGCAAAAAATTTTAACAGCAACTGACAAAAAACCGGAAAGTAATCTTGGTACGTTAACTTCGTGTTTAATTAACGATGCGGGACATAAACATGTTTATACGTTAATCAAGAAAGATATTGATCGTTTACACAAAGATAAATATCGTCGTGAAACGCCTGATACATTTTCAGTACGTAGATTTTCATTCTATTTGTTTAATTAAGAGTCTGCTATGAACTACTGAAAGTGTGCCGAAGAGTGTCCAAATTTGATTTTTAATCTAGTTTTTTTGACACGTTTATTTATGTGCTGTTTAGATATCTGTATTATTTGATTTGATTCCCAAGTCAACATCCATCAGTCAATCTTCCACAATCATCAACTCGGATCTACCATTATCATTAGAGGAAGAGAAAATAGATACAAAAATAAAATTGATGGAAACAAATGACGGTTCATCATTAATTATTACACCAACAAAATCGTTAAATATGCCAAATAAAGAAAAACAACAGTCACGTATAAATACAAATAATACGAATGAATCTGTTAAAACTAAAACAACGACGATACGTAGAAGATCCACCGATCCACTCCCCGAATCAGATAACGATGAAAATGAAATTAAACTGCGTATACCATCGAAATTATCTAATAATCGACAATTTAATTTATACAGAAATGGTATTTCAGATTGGGATTCGTCCGATTCCACAGATGATACGTCTTCTTCTCCTAAACGTCAAGATTTCAATAATAATCATAATAACAGCTGACTGTAAATGTTTGTTTTTCCATTTCGTCATTCGAGTTGATATTTTTTTGTTAGTTTCAGTACGGATAGTCGACAACTCGTTTGATTTAAGATTTTTGTATGTATTTGTTTTTCTTTCGATTATCTTTCATTTGTATTTTATACGCACATGTGTGTAGTTTTTGTGGCGTTCATTTTGTCTAGTGAATGAATTGAACAAGACTGACTGACTACAGCTGAAGAATAAAAATATCAAATCATTTTTATCTATCTTGGCTCACTATTTTCAACTTTATTTAGTTTATATTTTGTTTGACACTTATTATATCTCAGAAATCAGGTTAGTAGTATAGTCAATTAATTAGTTGTTCTAATTGTACCGAGAACAAAAGAGAGTATAATAATTTTAATTTTCCTAACTCACAAAGCTTTGCACTCATTGTTGTACATAATCTTTTTCTATATTTTTGTTATTGACAGAATCTCATTCGTTGAATGTATATTTTCCTTTCCTCTCGACTATTTTTCTATATAGTTCCTATTTAAATTATAGTTTTATTCTCTATTTTTACATTAGGAATACAAGTGATAGTGTTCTCCTATGTACTCTAATTAAAAATAGGAACAAAATTTATGTGCAATATTTTTTTGCTTTTATTATATTATCACCCACTCCTATAATATAATTTATTGAGTTTTACTGTTTTGTGTTTTCATTTATTACGTTTGTTCATGAACATTTTTTTTCTTCGTTCAATTTCAGTACTTATAGTGTTCAAAACTGATGAGCTTTTTGTTTATTCTACTATTGTGTACAGAGGCACCATCTGCTGGCTGATGCAGTTGTTTTTATGATTAATCTTGTGGACGAATGTATTCAAAATATTGTTTTCTTTTGACTTTTATTTTTGTGTTTGATATTGAGCAGATGTTTAGAAAACATATTGTCTTCATTAGTCCTGTCTATTTTTAGTTAAGTCTTTTGTTATATTAAAATTTGAAAACTTGAATGTTTTGTTTCTTAAATACTAGGAAAAACGTGATTGTGTTAGTCACGTGTCCATAGGATATATGCGATAAAATGCGTTTTATTCTATGTAGCTTTGTTGAAATCAAGGATCGTGGCCGTATGTTTTCTGACAATTATCTCAAGCACCGCTATGTGCTTCCATCATATAAACCGTTTGACCCAATGTACTTCAAAGATACTAAGGTCCAAACTCGGCGTTGAGCAAGTTACTTATTTTCACGTGCTTTGAATCACCTCTTCAACAGTATACTCAATATATTATGACGTACAACATAGTTTCTCTCGTTTCCTACAAAGTTAGAATATGAGGAGTAGGAGTGCATGTTGAACCGAAGAAATTAGTAAAAGAACTCGATGTCAGACTATACTGGTGATTAGAGTGGCAGACCTCTGTCTCTGAAGATGATTGACTGCTGGTGTGTGTGTGGATCTACTTGAGTTTGACAAGTCTAACTTTTCAGCATTGTATACCGTCAATAGTAGTCACATTTTTATTTTTATTTTTCATCTTCTCTTATGAATGATGTTTCATAGTCTCAGTCTTAAAACGTTTCCGTTGTCACATCTCACAGCAGTAGATTTTTTCTTTTTCGATTAAATTATATTATCTTTACGCACTAAGATTTTTATTAATAAGCTTTCTTGTAAAAAAAAACTACTGGTGTTTTGCTTGTTATACCCTCGAAAACAACGTATTTATTAATTAATAATGGATCTCTGTAGATAGACTTTTCCAGTCTCCATATGCTATTTTTCTCTGCCTATTCACGATAGCTGTCTTTCTATTCATGTAATAATATTCTCAGTTAGTTTCTAGTATACTACTAAAACGATGAATTCTTCTTTTCTTTTTTTGTTGTTTTCGATTAAATTATCAGTTGTAAATAGACAAAAAAAACTAGTTTTCTGTACGCAATATAGTATAGGTCTCATGCAATTGAAATAAGATTGATTTTTTTTTCCATTTCTTGCCCAGTATATCTGAATGGTGGCAATAATAGTCTACCGATTATAGTCTTAGAGATACTAACGTTTGCTAACAATCACCGAAACTTGATATCGAATAGTTATAAACCAAAAATATATGCTGTTAATTGATGTAAAAACAAACGATTTGTACGTCAATTCAGAGTTATTATAACACTATAAGATCTTTTACTGATATCATTATGCTTCTATCATAAAATGTCATTCACTAAAAACAGGTTATATCCATCATCATCTTTTTCATTTCCATATTTTTCTTCAACATTTTTTACCCTCAATCAATTGATTATTATATATGAGTCAACAACATATTTTCGTTTTGTTCTTAGACATAGAATATTATATTACATGGATATATACAATCTTAATAATCTTTATAACAAAAATTTTTTGTTATTTTTTTGTTAATAACACAAGACATATAGTAGGTCTTATTGACTAGAAAATCTAGACTCTGTGAAAACAAACGTACCATGGGAATATTAAAGTTGCGGTAAAGGATTGTTCAATTATTACATAGAGCTTAATATTCTGTCAATTTCTAAAATCGTCATATTAAAGAAGAACTGTTGATTCTTCCATCCTACCTCAAAATGTTTATGACATAGATAAACAGTTTCTACGGTTGTTTTTTTTTTTTTTTTTTTTTTTTTTTGCATCTTATTTAATCTAGCAATACAGGGAAGAAATTATTTGTAATAGTAATGGCCAAGAAAACGCTTTCTATGTATCGGAAGAGGTAGAGATAGACGACAGAAAAAAAGAGAAAAGAAAAGAAATGAGGCGTGCAGTGTATTTATATATATATAGTCTATATATATATATATATGTGTGTGTGTGTGTGTGTGTGTGTGTGTGCATATGTGTGTGTGTGTGTGTGCATATGTGTGTGTATTATTAAAATGGCACGCTATTAAAATATATAAAAGAATGTGTACTACTAAGTTTTTGTGGTGTAAATTTTGATTAAATTTTAAAATTTTTGCATTTGACAATGAAAATAAATACGTTGTACTTGTTCTATACATTTGCTTAAAAATGGTCATATTATAAATATATTTGAAGTATGCATACAATTCTCGTGTCTCCATAAAATTCTTCGAGTTTGACTTTGACAGTATGAATAATGAGGTAAACTAGATTAATGTCTTTATACTCTGCGTAACAGAAATACCTTTTGTTAAACTTTTTACACGTTTTGACATTCTATAGAGCATGTTTTCCACTTTAACTTAAAATTTAGTATATTTCCTTTGAATATGATATTTAATATTCTAGATGTGTTATGTATGTGTTCCGAATACGTTCATTTTCTATTCTAACTAATTATTTTTATCTGTATTATTATTAATGATATAGCTATATAATTATATAGGTTAAAAAAAGAAAATGGTACAAAAATATCAGTCACCTGTAAGAGTGTACCGTTATCCATTTGAACTTGTCATGGCTGCATATGAAAAACGATTTCCTACCTGTCCAATGGTAAATAGTTCTATATGTTCGATTTCTATTTTTTTGTAAATAATAATCATAAAAAAATTTCTATTTTTTAGATACCAGTTTTTCTTGGAAGCGATATTACATCAGACTATAAAAGTGAGGATGGTGCAGTTGAAATTATTGAAAGACGTTGTCGATTGAATATTGATGCGCCATATCTTCTGAAAAAGGTTTGTTCAATTTTCTTTTCTTCTATGTTTTTAACTATTGACTTTTACTTTAGATTGCTGGCGTTGATACAGTTATATTTTTACAAAAAAATCATCTTGATCGACGACAACGTACATTAAAAATTGATGCATGCAATGAAAGTTTTGCATCACGATTAATTATCAAAGAATATTGTCATTATTACGTTCATCCTGAAAATTCTTTATGGACTTGTTTTGAACAAAGTGCATTTCTTGATATAAAATCATTTTTTGGTTTTGAAACAACGGTGGAAAAAATTGCTATGAAACAATATTCGGCCAATTTAAGTAAAGTATGTAGTTGTTTATTTTTCTTCTCGAATTTACATACATATTTTGCTATATTAATTTTAGGGCAAAGAAGTAATTGAACATTATGTTTCGGAAATAATAGCACAAGGCAAACAGCATATACCACTATGGGAATCTCCATCATCATCTCAATTAACAATAACAACAGAAAACAACAATAATTCTCATACATTATCAGAGTCTAAAACTCCAGCATCTCCGGCATTAGCAGCTGCTCGACGACGTCTTTCTTCATTTGAATCAACAAACTTTTTTCCATCATCGTCTCCCCCACGAATATCAACGGCTGGCGCTGTTTCTGCATATGCAGCAAATATTGACTCTTTATCTGATGATTTGGGAGCATTTCAAATTGAACAAACAGTTAATGAAAAGATTGCTGACAATATTGAGGATGAATATATTCAACGATTCATAGGAATTTTGGATCCATACGAAGAATCGTGTCTTGTGCAATTGAGAAAATGGGTAACTGAAACACACAAAGGAAAGATGCCAAATGATTCACATTTATTACGTTTTCTTCGTGCTCGTCGATTTGATATTGAAAAAGCACGAGAATTTATTTGTCATAGTTTAGCGTGGAGAAAAAAGAATGGTGTTGATAAATTATTGCTATATTATGAAGTACCAGAAGTCTTTCAGAAATATTTCCCTGGTGGATTTATAGGGGCAGATCGAGATGGAAGACCCGTTTTTGTCTTACGTCTTGGCGAAATGGTACGTTTCAACCACAGCATTAGTTTTTTTTTTCTAGATACTAATGTTTATTTTAGGATGTTCGAGGTGTAATGAAATCATTGAAAGGAGAGGACGAATTTATTAAATATGTAAGAACACGAAATAAAAAAACAGAATTTTTATATTAAAATTTTCTACTTTTTCCATGTCTAGACAATCTACCTTGTTGAACAAGGTCTGCATAAATGTGATGAAAATACAAAATTATTTGGAAAACCAATAAGGTGATAACATTGGATGTATGATTACTTTGTTTTTCATTGTTTTTCTGTTTCTTTTCTAGTTCCGTGTGTGTAATCCTTGACTTCGAGAATTTCAGTGTGAAGCATTTGTACCGGCCAGGTTTCCGTTTGTTGAGTCAAATTATTGATGTCATGGATTCACATTATCCCGAAACACTTGGAAGGTAAACAGATAATAGAAACTTTTTAATATGTCACAAAACAATCTGTTGAGTTTGTACTTACAGATTAATTTTTACACACTCACCAAAATTATTTCCAGTGTTATGGACAATTATTAACACATTTATTGAAGAACGTACAAGAGAGAAGTTTATTATATTAAAAGCAGATGAACTTGTTGACTACATTGATGAAAATAATCTTCCTGATTTTCTTGGCGGCTTAACCACTGTAATTATTTTAAATTATTTTACATATTTATACGTAGTTTTATTTTCTTCTGTAGATTCAATTACCAAACGGCGGTCTCGTACCTCGATCTATGTACGTTAATGATGATGAACCAGATAAATTTGATAGTGAAAGTACATTGTTTGGCGACAATGAATACGTGGTGACAACGCTGAAAGATGGAGGTTCACATGAAGTAAGTAAAAGAGCATTAATCACTACTGAAAATCTATTCTGAAAATGTTGATCAAACCAAAGTCCCTCAGATACTTGACTTCAGACTTCCTCCTTTGACACACATTAAAACTAGTATAGCTTTAAGAAGCAATCAAAGTACTTAAAAGTCAGTATAGTCCAAACGTTGACATAAATAAATCGTAAACTTTGAATCAAGAAGAAAAATGGATACTTTTCCTTATTAGTTTTGACAGTTTAAAATTGAGTCAATAGTTCTATAATTTATCACAAAATTATTTGTTTCTCCTAGATTCATGTTCCGATTAATCAACGTGGAGAAAAGATCACCGTTGATTTTGATATACTCAAAGGCGATTGTATATTTACAATATATCGTACATCATTATTAAATTCTGATGATTTAACATCACCATCTCTACCGTCGGCAAGCGCTGCTCGTAGTAGTGTTAGCACAATAATACCATCATCGACCATCTATGATAAACCATTTCAAGATAATCCTCCTGATGTACTAAAAGTGATTAGTCTCACATGCCACGATGGTGACACTCATCAGCAAACATTCGTCTGTCAACAAACTGGAAGTTATATTTTACAATGGAAACAATATAACCCCATGCATACAAGTCCATTTGACTTTATATCTGGTGGACACAAAACAAAAATAATGTTTCATTATTCTAAAACATTATCTAGACTATCAATCAATGGTACGATTTTAGAACAATCACAATCATCTAGAACTACAAGTGTGCCTAGCTGATTTTTATTTATTTGTTTTTTCCGTTAAATCTCATGCTCTTTCCTAATCAATTTCTTTTTTGTATGTGTTTCTTGGCTTTCTCTTTTACACTGTCTCTCATCTATATTTAGATAAATTTCTGACTGTATTTTCAATAAATGTTTCCGTAATCGATATTTATTTTATTGTTGTTGTTTTCTATTTTGTATAGACGATTTAGAACAATCGTTTCATGAATGTCTTTCTGTTGTTCGACTTTGTGATTTTTATTAGGAAACAAACGTTTTACCGGCTTGTATATTTGGTTTAAATAATAATTTATTTTTATGGATAAGTGTCAAAATAGGTTTATATTGTCGTTTGCTTTTTGTGGGTTGACTTTGTTTATTAATACAATAATAAAAGGACAAAGAGCAGAAGAAGAGTTAGATTATTCGTCTCAAGACGTAATGTGAATGTCACTTATACTATTCGATACTATCATTCGTCTAATTTGTCTGTCAAATATTATTTTCCTTTTATGTGAAATTCTTTGAATCTGCCGCAAACAAATTTGAATAAACGATACACTATTAATATATGGCACGTCACAGTGCAACAACTTCTTGTATCAGGGTGAAAATCAGTAATACACGGCTTGTCCAAACGTCACGGCGTTACGTTGTTGACGCACTAAACTTCGGTTATCTTGGAAACTAAAGTAGTTAGAAAGTTCGTTTTAATGTCAATCGACGCAGTTCATCATGCTCTACTTATGCTGTGAAAATGGAAGTTTTTTGGATGTTGCACTGGGCTTTGAGAAGGATTTTAGTGTTGCGTCACGAAAAAAGACCCTTTTTTAAGAGTACTGCTACGAAAATCCTGATTTGCTGCGAAAGTAGTTCTCCAAACGGAATATTCGTTGAGCCGATCCTGTAGAGCAGCTCACGGGCTTTCTAATGGTAAAAAAATGTTTCACCTAGGTTATTCGGTTTGCCTGAAAAATACAAGATATAAGCGTCACAGCGTTACGTTTTTCGTCACGGCGTTATGCACTTTTTTGTCAAGCATATTTGAGGCACTTAACACGATGGTAAAGTTTTGATTTTCACAACGTCCTGTGTTCTTTGTATATTTGATCGATCTGCGCAAAAATCAAGTTGCTGTATCAAAATAAGAGCTCAAAAACTGGACAGTAAGTCGGAAACTGTACAACTATGTACAAATTGTACATAGCAAGTAAACTCCAAAACAAATACGCCATTTTGTAGAGAATTGAATTCTCTACAAAAGCACATTTTTAGAAATGTGTTTTAAAAAGTGTTTTTGGTTAAATATTTAAAAATTCGGTTTCTGAAGAGTTCAAAACCAGGTTTTTTAGATGAAAAGGAACTTTTTTGAAAAGCGGGTTTCAAACGGGTTTTTAGAATAAAAAACTGAATCTAATCAGGTGTTTAAAACTTACGATATCGAAAAAAAGTTTTCAAAAACTTGATCAGCGAAGTGTACCGTTACGTGGACAAGCCTTACGGTTCACGGTTCACGATTCTTTTCAGGACTGAGAGAGCCCATAATTTGGCAGAAAATGGCTCAGGTTTGACAAAGAAAGTCCTCCTCCCAGCGTCAACCCAGTCATTTAGGACAGAATTTTCTCTCATTTTTATACGTTCACGAATAGAAGTATTAGAATACGATGTCTTCCGTGCACTATTTGCTGTGTTTGTAGAAAAGATACATCATACCATTCTCTGCTCATTATTTGTCACCCCTGAAACTATTCATCTTTATGACGTGACTTGCTTTATTGGATTGGAGGTTATCTTTCTTTGAAATTCATTTTTATTCTCACTCATCCATATCACGTTTATTTTCAAATTAGACATGTCAATGTTCTGAAACCATCCGTGTCATAGCAAAATAAAACAGAACAAAACAATAAAGAATAAGAAAGTTAAGAGATCAGCAGGATGAGTTGAGAGAGAAGATTGATATTTTATTGACAGAAATGCTTTTGTTTTATCTATAATGAAAAAAAATACTTCACCTTCTGACTAATGCTGCTGGTATAGTGCTGAGAGGATCTTTAGTTTCTAATAGCAGCGATAACTTCCATACAGCTGAGAATCTTGATATAAATATTATTTATTAGTGAAGTAACGGGTGTTCCATAAAGAATGGCACTGTTTGTATTTTTCGCTTTTCTCTGTCAATTTTGATAGTTGAGACTTGAACTTTTTTCCAAAAAGATAGCCCATTCAATTCTCTATAAAATTCTATGAAAAGAGTTCCTGTAAAAGACAGTCATGAAATCCTATGCAGCCAACACTAGTATGCACCTGAAGAGAACCGTTACAAATGTCCGATTTTCTAAAATTAACTATCGTGCCCCGTCTGGCCACGAAAACGCCAAGTCACTCTGGTACACATTTTCTTATCTTTTCGACTGTGTTCTTTCTCATAGCGCTCAAAACAAGTCGGTCGAATCAGATGATGAAGGACTAATGCTCATTTACCTTGAAAACTTGCTTGGATTAAATGAATGTTTCGAGCTCGCACTATCTCTATTGCAGAAATTTTATTTTACACTTGATTGGTCTTTTCAGGATGATAGAAGTCGAACACCGTATTGAATTTTTTTTTTTTTAAAACTTTTTTTTGAAAGTTTGAAAGTTTTATCTCAATGTTTCTGTTGCAACGAATTAGCATACCTTTCTACTTCACCATGAAATTGCTTTTCATGTGTATCCGACGGTAAAGTAGAAATACAAGCAGAATAAAGAATTAATTGTAGTTGAAATAGAAGGCGGTGTTACGTGGGAGTTTTTACGAATCAGATTTCAAGACGATGTATCTGACATGTGAAAAAAGAAGAGATTGCCAGGTACCGAAGACAGAATAATTTTTTCACTAAAAACTTTTAACTTTCACTCAAGACTTTTAAGCCTCACTTAAGACAATTAGTGGATGATCTTATTTACTTTCAATACTTTTTTGAATATGTTTAGTAATATAGCCCGATCGAGATACAACGATATCTTGATCCGAATCTTGGTTGTATCCCGACTGAGATATGTATCCCGTTTAGGATAAACTCCATATGCCAATCAGAATAAATATCCCGTTCGGGATATAAGTCATGAGACCGCACTGATAGTAGACGATGAAGATGAGGGAGACATAATTAATTTTGAGTGTTTCAACAAAAGTGTTCAACAGAGTGTTTGACAAAAGTAGAGAGTATATATACTATTATTTATATGGATGTGCACATGCACAATTGTCGAGCAGAGTGTCGAGATGTAGTGTGAATAAGGTATATAGTACAGTCAGAATAAGAGGATAACAGAAGAAAATAAAAGGTATTTCCAGTCGTCAACTCATCACACTAATCTTTAAAGTCTCTTAAACCTTTTTGCTCGACTCTTTTGTCAGCAAAAATGGTCGATGAGTGGCTGATGACTGACTAAATCTCAGATTTTTGGCTGATCCCAGTTTTGGCTACAATATCTACTTTATTGCTCTTTTCTTAATTACATTTTTCCATCTGGAACATTATGTTGGGGCTATGTTTCTTTGGCTTTATTCTCTAACGGGTATTCCATAAAGAATGGCACTATTTGTATTTTGCCCCTTTCTATATACCTTATTCACACT